AAAAAAAAAAAAAAAAAAAAAAAAAAAAAAAAAAAAAACTAAAAATAGAGAGAAAGAGATAAAATATACAGTATCATACTATAGTGATCCAAATTTGACCAAATCAAGATAATCAACTCATAGTATCAACGTCGCGACGCGGCGGGCTCAGACTCGATGCATCCTCAGAATATAGTAAGAACATGAGCCCAATCTCATTAAGCGCTGACTTATCATCAATGTCTGATTTATGACCTGGGATCACATGCAGAGTAAAGCAATATGCAACTTGGAAATTCGTGGCCTTCAATATAGTAGGGACCCATTGGCGGATGGAACCAACTTATAGCCTCAGCTGCCAAAAAAAGGTATTCTTCTGTAAATTACAGTAGCAGGCGCCAACTTCCTCAGATCACCAGATTAGCAGCAATCTTATCTTCTTGTAACGCTTGTCCGACGGCCTCTAGCGTTGCATATCATCTGCTCAGACCTGACTGCCCGAAATCCGCCTACTAGATACCAAATTCGTATGGTGCTAACACTGAACCGGAGGGTACAACTAGGCAGATCGGAGGGGCCAGCCTCTTGTCCAATTATCATGAGGCAAACTTTTAGCACGGCATTATCGCAGATTACATCAAAGATGGTATTGCGGGGAGATTGTGTGCTGTGTTAGATGACACCCCGTGTACATTGCCAGGGTCACTCCGGCTGCCGTTGGGACCCGGAGTAACCCGCGATCCCGAAAGGGATCCGTATACATCCAAGGCGAGCCGATCGGACATGCGCCTATGAAATAAAGTGTAGTTCCCAGAGCCTTTCGAGGTAATTGTGTCTCCCCATTATACCCAACGGTATTAGAATTACTAAACTCTCCAAATTGCCCATTATGACCGTCGAACACCAACCACGCCCGGAACCGGTGCTGTTTCCAAATGGGGGCTGGGACGTCCACCACCACATATTTGAGCGTATGATCCTGGATTTCCCTCACAAAGTAGATACAACACTATGTAACATCATACTGATGCGATTCTATATTCAGCGGCGAAATTCGCCTATGCTCCTGATAGACACCTCACTCCGCCACCCGCGACCGTCCAGCAATTCCTCGCCTTTAAGGAGAAAATTGGTATTACCAACTCGGTTCTCACGCACGGTTTATCATATGGACCGGACTGCACTTCCCTCAAATCGTTTGTCCAAGAACTGGGGGAGTCAGGAACGAGGGGCATTGGGGTCATTGACCCCGATAAGACGACACCAGAGGAGCTCCAGGAGATGCACAAACAGGGCATCCGAGGTATCCGGGTCAACTTGTACCAGTATCAGGCGATGCACGATGTGGAACGACAGAAACAAGCTTTACGTGACCACATCAGAGCTATTAAGCCGCACTGTCCAGGATGGAGTATAGCGTTCACTCATGTGCATCCCGAGTACTGGGGAGAGCTGAAGCCAATTATTGAGGAGGAGGTGATGTCCTCTAGCCTTCATCTGGTCACTGACCACTTTGCATTGCTCAAGGCCGCTAGTATGCTGCCTGCAGAGTACGAGGGAGATATCACTCGACAGCCCGGGTTTACAGAGATCATGGATCTGGTCCATTCTGGACTACTATACGTGAAACTTAGTGCTCCATATCGCGTAAGCCATGAAGCTCCGCGGTATGCAGACGTGAAGCCATTAGTGCGCGCTTTTGTGGATGCCAATCCGCGACAGATCCTTTGGGGTAGCGACTGGTGAGGATCTTTTGTGAGTACTATTATGGTTCGCTGCTAACACTTGATTAGGCCTCATACCCCGCATATGAAGGTTCGAACGCGTGAAGAGGCACTGCGGGAGACCCCGTATCTGGTCATCGATGACGCGGAATGGCTGAGAAGCTTGCGGTCCTGGGTCACTGCAGAGGAATGGCAGGCAATAATGGTGTCGAACCCGACTAGACTGTATGACTGGTAAAGCTGCGTCTTATTACGACGATGGAATATGGGAAAATGGTAGTTATTCCAGGCTATGGAATCTCTATAACCATTCAGCAACCTCGGCAGTGAAAAATACACACAATAAAACAGAGTATCGGAGAAGCCGTGACACACTAAGCCCTATAGGGAATATCTCCGACCTCCGACTTCCGACCCTCGAAAGGTCCACCTTTTGTCTTCACTTCGTTCTGGAGAATATCTTATCCTGGTCCCTGATTAATATCTGCCCACGTAACCTAATTTCCCTTCAGTGGCATCCGTGCTGAAAGTCTTCATCTATTCCTTGGAGCGACTAGTTTATCTTCTCAGAATGGGTTCAAAGGGACCAGGAAGGTCGACGATCGTCATCAAGCGGGTCCCCAACCTCAAACGCGGCATGGAATCCGAGTCCATCTCAATCCTCCACTACCGGGCTTGGCGCAACGCAATCCCTCTTAAATGTTCCTCCAGTCCATTGCTTCTGCTTCCTCATGGAATACACCCTTGACACGCACCATGTCGGCCTCTCTGCCCTCTAGCTACCGTTCCCTCAATTTACCCAATTCCCTGCCCCCGCTGAATCAGTCGTGTGAGAGTTGTAGGGCGCTCAAAGTACGCTGTTTGCCGGATCCCAACGTCCCGCGCCAGTGTCAGCGCTGTACCCGCACGAGAAGAACCTGCGTGTTTGCCCGCACGCTCCGACGACAGCCACGGAAGAAGACTGGCTCACGAGTGGCCCAGTTGGAAAGGGATGTGCGAGATTTGCGCTCGCTGTTACATGACCAGATCAGACATGATCCAGACCGGGGGGAGAAGACAGATGATGCCGCGGCCGCTGCCACAGCCACCGATTCTCCGGGGGCGGCTGGCCGCGACGTAGCTTCCTTTCCCGCCCTCTCATCATCTATGCACATGGAGCTCTCTAGTGTCCACAACACCTCTGCTCAGGGTGACTCAGATCAGCATGCTAGAAATTTACCTGCCGAGACTGCTCCCACCAGCACTAACCCGACCATGATGCAGTCGACAGCTGGCTCTGGGGACGTGGTCGATCGCGGCATTATATCGCTTGACATGGCGCAAATGTTGGTCTCATTCTTTGTCAACGAACAAATGCAATTCTACCCAATGGTTGTGCTGCCACCAAACACAAGTGCGGAATCACTGCGCAGAACGAGCCCCGTACTCTTCCTGTCTATTCTAGCTGCTTCATCAATGACCTTAAACCCTCACATTTCGGAGACTCTCAACGAGGAGATGCTCAAGCTATTTGCAGAACGTTTTTTCCTCAGGCAGGAGAAATCAGTGGAGCTGATTCAATCAATCCTCTTGATGCTTATCTTCTACTTCCCCCCAAAGTCACGCTTACAAGGCCAATATTACCAATACACACACATTGCGACCACCATGACTCTAGAACTTGGTATAGCAGCCGGACCAGCGGGGCGAAAAAACTACCGTTGTCATGGCGGGTATGGTGATTTACCAGCTTCCATCCATAGTGCCCAGGCGCGAGCCGTACTGGGCTGCTATCACTTCGCGTCCAAGTATGGACTCTATGTTTACCACGTAGTCGATACACGACTGACCTAGCCGTAGCATAGGAATTCGAACACACCGACCGAATATGCTCCGCTTCAACGATGTGATAGACGGGTACATATGCCACCTCAGAGAATCTACAAACGGCCTGGACCAGCAAATAGCGACATGGTTTGACATTCAGCGGATCGTTGACGATACACTATGCTCACTGGGCCACGACAATACCCTAGTGGACGTTAATTTTCGTGAGTCGCAGATGCTTCCAATCCTGAAATGGTTTGATTCTCGAATGTTGCGCTGGAAGAGGACGACCCCGAAAAACATGCTCACAAGTAAGTTGCATCCATACATTTATCGAACTGTGCTCATACTATTACTCACAGCATGGATGAACCTCGAATATCACTACATGTACCTCGCCATCTACGAACTTGCCGCTGGTGAAGGCTACCGCGATCCCGATGCCCCCACCCGCAAATATTACACTCTCCCACCCTTGGAAGGCGACATGGAACGACACAAAGCAAACGTGCCCTTAAGTGCTGCACGAGTCCAGATAATAACGAAGTGGATGCTTGCCGCCCACCAGATGTTGGACGCCTTCTTGGAATGCGACACTTCTACCATGCGCAAGCTACCTAACATGACCTATACACGGATGGTCCTGGGCATCTCATCCCTACTCCGGATATATCACACAGCCCAATTTGGCCCTCTCGGTGAGGTTATTACTTCAAATATGATGGACGTTGATGGCTACCTGGACCGCGTATCAGAAGCTCTTTCACGAGCGAGTGGAGAGCAGAAGTACCGCGTCCCCAGCAAATGGTATCACGTTGTTGCGATCAAGAATCGAGAGTGGTATGAACAGATCCAGAAACGGATAATTGCTCGTCCGGGCGATACGCATACCTATCTACGTGGCGGAGTTCCCCCACCAGCGCCGGGTGTCCCCATCTTGGAACCTCACAGGGGCCCAGGCTCAGCTGCCATACTACCCTCACTCGGAAGTGGCATGACGGGCCCCGCATATGCTGAACCGTGGTATGTAGATGATGCCGCAGGAAGGGTTGATCCGTCACGGCCTTTCCCTGCTATGAATGCACCAGTCTTGTATATGGGTCAGATGCAGCCTGTAGAAGGAGATATCAATGAGGCCGCGTTTCCATTACCGTTGGGTGACGAACCGTGGCGGTTGGATGAGTCGATACAGGACAGCGTGACATTCCCATATTGAAGCCGGTAATGCCCTACATATGGTCTCGATGGCCTGAAGGTTGATGCCAATGACTTATTAAGATTTGATATGTAAATAATGACTCCTACGAACATTCTTAATCGTCAAATAACAAGGAATATCATATTATCCTTTGCTAAAAGATCAGAACGTCACGAAGCTCCCCGAGCGCTTACATCTCCACGTGATACACATGACTACTATGATGGTTGAGTTCGAATCTGCAGTAGATTAGGTAGTTTGCTTTCCTGGTAACGTACTTCGCCGGTGAGGTAAACGCTGTGCACTTGGGCTGGGCCTAATCACAATGCTCAAAGATCCGCTGAGGTGACCATGGTCAAAGACGACGCGTCCATTATCAACAATGATCCCACTTGCTATATTATTTCTAAGCAAGTTACTCCATTCCCCGGGATAATCCTCTGTCCTCGATATGGATTCAGACTGGACCAGGCGGAAGTCGGATGCAGACCAATATGGCGAGTCGCTTCGCATGAACTCCCACCAGGACGTCGCAATCCTGACTGGCAACAACAAGGACGATCCGGTGCGAGCAACTCCCACGACTGCACCGTAACCGAGTACCACACCGACTTCACCAACATGTTCGGTTATCTTTCGTCTCAGTTCTTCGAACTGTATCCTGCCACCAACGCAAGTCAGGCCGACGCCGTGGTCAACGAATACTATCGCGATCTCAGCCGTACAGGAACCTGGGACTGGGCCTAGGATCGGGTAGCTGGAGGAATGAAGAGTGACGTCTACACCTACTTCTGGACTCATGCGCCTCCAAATGAGAATGGTGGTGCCTATCACGGTTCAGAGCTGTATTACACGTTCCACAATTTGCCGTATGCTGATACCTCCTCTAATTGGACGGAGACGGACTATGTTATTGCGGATATTATGCAGGGCTAGTGGGTCAATTTTGTCAAGAATGGCAACCCCAATGGCGATGGTTTGACCTACTGGCCGCCCAGTGAGGAAAATGCAATGACCATTTGGCTAGGAGACTGTTGGGGAGCTGAAAGGTTGCAGGGCCTGCCCGAATTGACCTTAATCAAAGCTGGTTTAGCCAGAGTGTCGAGTGGTAGAAGCCTTAGATGGGTCGGAAGTTGGGACATGGCCTGTGTTAGAGTAAATGAGCTTCAATATCTTATGTGGTAGTAGAGGATACATTCTTTAGCTTGTAGTCTATAGCCCATGACGATAGGGGACTTTGAGTGCGCGTCCTGAATTGGATCAATCTTCTTCTCCTGAAAATTGATTTCCTACTTTTCCGGATAAATGCACGGTCCACGTGTATATCTCGCCCTATGTTCAGTAAATGTGACGCAGACGACTGGAAAACCTGGAAGATAATCGTCAGGGTCATCAACCCTAACTGGACCCTGAGGGACTAAATGTTAGGCGGCCGCGTAGACCCTCTCCACTTTGCCGTCTAACCAGTAACCACAGCCTAGTCCGTCCTATTTTCCCCATTCATCATATTCGTATCTCTGGTGTTGGCGCCTGGAAGCCCTGACAAGATGCGATCAGTGGGCGGGTGGACCCTTCCACGGAAAAGCCGGCAGCCGGAGATCGGGGATGCCACCAACAGTTACATCCGATGTCCGACGGATACTGATCGCAACCATAGTCGAACCGCGTCCAACCAGGTACATAGCTATGCTTAAAGATTTAGTGTTTACTCGGTTAACTTCGCGATGTATAGGGGGAATGGGAGTTTGTGGGAGGCGGATAGTTGGGAGGTGCGAGGGGTTGTATTAGGGCAGGTTTGGGCGTTTGCGTATATGGTGATGAGGTTGTTGGATAGAGGGGTTCCTGATTTTAGTCTCTATATAGATTTTGTACCTTGACTACTTCAAAGATTCATTCATTGATTCTGTTATCATGCGGTGAGAGATTAGAGCCTTCACTGAATTGGGGCAGATGTCAAACCCTCTGCCCTTTAGGTACAACTTGGCCGATTTGTTTATTCAGCAAAATAACAACGTATTCATGGAGGTACGAGTATTTCAGGTATAGTAGGTTGCAATTGACTGTATTCCTGTCTTCCACTTATTCTACAGTGTGTGAATTGTCATGGTAAATCGTGTGAAAAGCGTGGTCAAGTCACATTCATATGTGAGTCTGTCGACTCCAGCCATTACCTCTAAAGTAACATCCAGGCTGTCTTGAAGGACAACATTGCTTGGCCAAAGCCAATATTTGGGGATCTCCAGGGGTCGGGGTCTCCGAGGGGCTTTCGCACGTGGGACATCCGTTCCACATGGCTGCCATGCGTTGAGCTTGTCAAGACGCCTGATATGTCTAGGCTGTGTCATTTATTTGATTCGTGTTGTATAACAATCAGAGACATTGTATCTTGACTGCTTGCTGTCAAAGATTTCCAAAAATCCCGATTGTAGTATCAACCACGACAACAGTGGTATGCACTAGCGTGATAGAACGCAACGTATTGAAATCTTTCTTAGAGGCTAATATGCTATTTGCCTACGAAGTAAGAGAATCTTGAGCTGATAATCTGTGTTATGGATGGTATACATGTTTCGTGACGGAACTGGCTTATACTATGGTAGATAGTCGGAATTAGGGAGAAATAGGCATTATTATAAAGTGTCAAGATACTACTAGTCATTCATTAACTGCTCGATTTCGAGATTTATCTAGATCAATCAGCGCATAAGTGGACAGATACAACTGCAGCGAGCCACCTGCTACGCATATGATTTCGTGTACATGCAGTCCACCTCCGCTCGCCGACACAGTAACGCGCTTGCTGACCTTGATGAATTGGCATATAGCAAAGTACTACGATTTACGCCCATTATTCAGTACAAGCAGCTAAACAGAACAAATTAGAATTCCATACATTATCCACAGAGCTCACGCAAAGCATGTATCGAAAAAAGGGTATAGCAACACAATCCGCCACCACCTAGTCCTTAATCTCCGTAATCTCCCATTCAGCCCTCTCAGCCTGACGATTTCGCCATGCCTTTTGAATGATAAGTGCCAATATTCCACAGAGCACGATGAAGACCACCACAAAATCCAGGATCACGCCAGGTTCTTCACCAGCCCAGCTGCGCTTGCCGATGGTTTTGTGGGACAGGACTGTGGCCGATCGGGGGAAGTTGATTGCTGGCATTGTGAACTTCTTGTTCAAGTGAGGAAGTGACAGATTGAATTCGGTATGTTTTGGGCGATGAGTTCCGATCTAGTCTAGTTTGCTGTTATGCTTGAAGCTCTGTATGGTATCCTCGAGGGGTGTATGACTGACGTGTTTGTGATCGAAAAGCAAGTACTACCGTCTTCGGTAGTCTAAGTCCAAGGAGCAAGTATTAGGGTAGGAATACCAAAAGAGCAGATGATAAAAATGCAGCTTCAGAGGTCTATCATGCCCACTGCTACTCAAGGAAAGAAAAATTCACTCTAGCGCCTTCCACAGAATGGTACCTTGGCTATCCACGATAATATGTAGCAGTACAGTCCTAATGGCCAGGCAAATCACTCATCCACCCCAATCACCTTCCCGTTCTTCGAATGCGTGATTTTGTCATAGCTCTCATATTACGAAGCTTGCTGGCAAGGAAAAACCAATAGCATTTTCTATTATAGTGATGTCAGCATGTGCTCCTTGAGGGTTTGGCTAGTTGATTGGCAAGTATATGACAGGGGATAATTCCGCGGGGCAATTGCGGAATCCTCGGAAGCTTGAGACCGGTTTCTTGCCAAGGTGATGAAGGTCTGGGGGCCTATCATGGAGCTGGACCCCATATGCCGTATATCCGACTGGGTAGCATTGGCTAGTGCTGGCAGGGTTTCGGTCCGTCGGCATGGAGGGACCTGGCCGTGGTTGATAAAACGGGACACAGATATGGATGGAGCAGATGCCTGGAGTGAGTCTAGATCATTTTGATCCGAAGAACAATATTGTTGCTATAGCATGACGAGGTATCGCGAGAGTTGAAGAAAAGAAGTCTTCTATCACACAGTGATGTTACTGTTCATATTACCCTGTCTTTTCTGAAGTTGTACTCGATGAAAGGCGATGCTCTGTAGTTTACTTCGACGCTATTTGCGTCCCGTCTTCTCGTCCATTTTGTGCGTGCCGAGGACAGTGATGGACGTGGCGATAACACAGGCCTGTGAGAGAGTGGGTCAGAACCAATCAAGCTTTTGACCTCCGCACAGATCGCCAACTGACTCGTACCTTTTGCCGAACATGACATCAACAAAGCTTCATCTGACCCTTCGGGGCGTTATACTTCGTAGACAGCCCTCAGACCGCGTTGAGGTATTTTCAGACCATCTTGAGCCTCATCACGAAGAGCAGTAAACAGTCGTATCAAGCGAGATCATGGGGTGTAGATATCTTTTAGAGCACAGTGAGGTATTTTCGGACCATTTCGAGCTATAAGCCATGGCCGAGCGTCAGTGCCAGCAACCCTGGGCATTAATGTGCAAGTGGAGCGACGGCCACAAGCTTCACACCATCTCCCAATAATAGCATTTCTAGACACAGTCAACGACAATCCTTAACTCAATTCGGCATGGCCAAACATTACACAGTAACAGCTCAGGCGTACACCCCAGTGAGACACCTGCAGTGAGCATGCAGCATGCAGCACGCGACGTCATGAGGGCTTTCAGTTTCGCATTTCCGAGCTTGCCGATTTCCGACCGGGCATCAAGCAGCAAAACAGGATGGGCAAGAATCCTAGCAAACTTTGACTAAAGACCTTCCATACTGTCTGCGTATACAAAACTGCTTGTCGTTCCCTGTTCCTGTCATCCCCGAGCTCCTCCCACATGCTGTTAGTTGGTCCTTCCGCGCTACACTTTACCTCTTCTCTTTTACTCCGCGTAACCCCAATCACTGCTGCGCTATTACCCTCAGTATGTCTACCAACGGCGACGTCGAGCGCGATGCCGGCTCGCGCCGCGCCTCCCGATTCTCCAGCCGGTCCGCCCGGTCAGACACGAAACTCGACGAGTACACCCGGCTGGTGAAGTTCATGTCTACGTACCGCGAGAAAGATGCGAATGATCCCGGGGAGGGAGAGATCCGCGAAAGTCGCGTGTGGTATGCGCCGTGGAAGAAGAGAAGGTTTCGCTGGAAGCATGTTGGCTCGTCGCGCGAGTTTCCAGAGGAGTGGCGCCTGACTGATATTCATCATGGATTATCGGAGTCGGACGTGGAGACGAGGAGGCGGTCAGCAGGGTTTAATGAGCTGAGCTCGGAGAAGGAGAATCCGGTTGCGAGGTTGCTGTCGTATTTCCAGGGACCAATTCTATATGGTGAGATTCGATGATCGGTTTGGTTATTATTATTGGTGTTGTGTATGTTGTATGTGCTGACTGTTGTGCTTGTAGTCATGGAGATTGCCATTCTACTTGCTGCGGGTTTGAAGGACTGGATTGACTTTGGTGTTATCATCGGTATTCTGTGCCTGAACGCGGCAGTTGGTTGGTATCAGGAGAAGCAGGCTGAGGATGTGGTTGCTAGTCTGAAGGCCGACATTGCAATGCGCAGTACTGTTGTGCGTGGTGGGGAGGAGCAGGATATCCTGGCACGGGAACTGGTTCCTGGCGACGTGGTAAGCATACCTTTACAATATCGCCCAAGCAACCAAGTGCTCATGTTTAAATCCAATAGATCATCGTTGAAGAAGGCCAGACCGTCCCTGCCGATGCAAAGGTCATCTGTGACTACGATGAACCCGACCAAGGGTGGAGCGATTACCAAAGACTGCGGGACGAAGGAAAATTTGAAAAGGACGCCGAAAAGTCCAACGACGAGGGAGGGGAGGAAGAGTCTGACGACGATGAGAAGGGCTATCCTATCCTGGCCTGCGATCATTCTGCTATTACTGGAGAGTCTCTTGCCGTCGATCGATTCGTTGGTGACCAAGTTTTCTACACAACAGGATGCAAGCGTGGAAAAGCCTATGCAGTCGTCCAAGCCACTGGGACGAAGTCCTTCGTTGGTCGCACTGCTTCAATGGTGCAGAATGCAAAGGATACCGGCCACTTCAAGATGGTCATGGATAGCATTGGAACTGCCTTGCTGGTAATTGTCATGGCCTGGCTGCTGGCAGTCTGGATTGGTGGCTTCTTCAGAAACATCCCCATTGCCTCGCCTGGTGAACAAACTCTTCTTTTCTATACCCTGTCTATCCTGATCATCGGGGTCCCTGTCGGTCTGCCTGTTGTTACAACTACCACCTTGGCGGTCGGTGCGGCTTACCTGGCGAACAAGAAGGCTATCGTCCAGAAACTGACTGCTATCGAGTCGCTTGCTGTAAGTATTCCAAGGGACATATTTTCCCATTTGGTCCTGATCCCCGACTTCTCGACAACACTTTTTCGCCTCTTATTTCAAATATTAACAACACAATAAACAGGGTGTCGATATTCTTTGCTCCGACAAAACCGGAACCCTGACCGCTAACCGCCTCAGCATCCGGGAACCTTTCGTATCCGAAGGAGTCGACGTTAACTGGATGTTCGCAGTCGCTGCTCTCGCTTCTTCCCATAATGTGCGCTCGCTCGACCCCATTGACAAGGTGACCATCCTCTCGGTCAACCAATACCCCAAGGCAAAGGAGATCCTCCAACAAGGGTGGAAAACCGAGAACTTCACCCCATTTGACCCGGTCTCGAAACGAATCGTTGCGAATGTCTCCCTTAACGGAACCCGCTACACTTGCACGAAAGGAGCGCCTAAAGCAGTCTTATCATTAACCAACTGCTCAGAAGAAACTGCAAGAATGTACAGACAGAAAGCAACTGAATTTGCACAGCGTGGCTTCCGGTCGCTTGGTGTGGCTGTTCAGAAAGAGGGGGAAGAGTGGACCTTGTTAGGCATGCTGCCTATGTTTGATCCCCCTCGTGATGACACTGCTCAAACAATTGCTGAGGCACAGAAGCTAGGCATCAAGGTCAAAATGCTTACTGGAGATGCTATTGCTATTGCAAAGGAGACGTGCAAAATGCTGGCTCTGGGCACGAAGGTCTATAACTCGGAGAAATTGATCAGTGGTGGTCTCAGCGGCGCCATGGCTGGTGAGCTGGTAGAGAAAGCAGATGGATTCGCAGAGGTCTTCCCAGAACACAAATACCAAGTTGTTGAGATGCTGCAGGATCGTGGTCATCTTACAGCCATGACTGGAGATGGTGTCAATGATGCGCCGTCTTTGAAGAAAGCAGATTGTGGTATCGCGGTCGAGGGTGCCTCAGAGGCCGCGCAATCTGCATCGGACATTGTGTTCCTAGAGCCAGGGCTTTCAACTATCATCGATTCCATCAAGGTCAGTCATCCATGTTTCCCACTCCACAACCACAAACAATCCACCCTAACCAGAAGCAGGTCGCCCGCCAAATCTTCCACCGCATGAAAGCTTATATCCAATACCGAATCGCCCTCTGTCTACACCTAGAAATCTACCTCGTAACGACAATGATTATCCTGAACGAAAGCATCCGTACCGACCTCGTCGTCTTCCTAGCCCTCTTCGCCGACGTCGCCACCGTTGCAGTCGCCTACGACAACGCCTCCTACGAGCTCCGCCCTGTGCAATGGCAACTGCCAAAAATATGGGTTATTTCCGTCATCCTCGGCATCCTCCTCGCAGCAGGAACGTGGGTAATCCGGGGCACACTCTTCCTCCCTGACGGCGGCATCGTCCAAAACTGGGGCTCGATCCAAGAAATTATCTTCTTGGAAGTCGCTTTAACAGAGAACTGGCTAATTTTCGTGACCCGCGGAAGCTCCACATGGCCATCTCTACCTCTAGTGGCAGCCATTCTGGGTGTCGACATACTTGCTACTATTTTCTGTCTGTTCGGATGGTTCTCCAACCGCGATATGGTTACTGATCCGTATGATCAGTATATCAGCAAGGAGACGAGCAATGGGTGGACGGATATTGTGACTGTTGTGCGGTTGTGGGGTTACTGCATTGGTGTAGAGATTGTGATTGCGTTGGTGTATTACGTTTCGAACAAGATTGCCTGGTTGGATAATCTGGGCAGGAGCAGACAGAGTAAAGGGGATGTGGCTATTGGAAATGTGCTTGCTCACATGGCTAACCTGTCGTTGGAGTTCGAAAGGGGTGAAGATGGCAATGGGAGGGTCTTTTTGGCTTCGGGTAAGGAGGAAGAGGAGGTCGATTAGGTGTGTCACGGTGCTGATGTGGTTGGTGGTGTGATGGTAAGATGTTGTCGAGTACTAATTATAGGATGATGAGAACTACATTTACAGCTATCTTATCTTAATATGTCATTGAACTATTTCCACATTCTTATCTGGCTCCTATATTTTTGATAGACTGCTGCTCTTCAAGAGATGATAATGTCGGTCAATATTCAACGGAAGGCCTTTATTCTGATAGCTGCGGGACCATCGGATTGCATGTTTCATCCTAATATCGAGAGGAAGGCACTGTTCATTCATCAACCTGGCATATCTCATATCTCTCTGGTTACTAAAGGAAACCAATCCCGAGCTACCACAGACTTCCAATCCTTCGATATGAAACACATCCAATAGGTCACAAATGACCAGTCGACGATCAACGTCGAAGTGTTTGCTAGACTCCTAAGACATTGATCTGCAACGAATGATCCACGGTGAAGAAAGGTTAACTGCCGCTAAGCAACGGAGGATCGCAGGCGAAGGATTCGAAGGATTCGGGCCACCTATTATCACTACCACCAAAAGACCCCTGAACATGAAAGCAAGCGGGCCGGAATATTGTCGGTAAAACATGACATGAAGCTAGCCGACCGCTAAACCTATGTAGAGTGCTTTAAACTATTTTGAGAAAGGTTGACAATTCGGACGATTCTACCGTCATCGTTGCTAACGTTTTCTCCACACATCGGTTCATTAACTGCTTCGTAGAAGGTGCCGTTTATGGCAATGGGCACTCCTAAACCACTACACCCATAGCCAATCTTTTTTTCGATGGCCTGGGATTGCTAGGGAAATAGTTCATATGACTTTGACACTCTAAACTCCAGAACTGGCATATAAAGGTACCCTTTCCTGTCTTATTGCAAATATGTCCATCCATTGAATCACACCCCTCCAGTCAACCAGGACCCCCATCAAACCTTTTCAACCCTTTTATCTAAAGACACTATCCATAATGGTCCGCCTCATGACACTCGGACTTTTCCTCATCAGCGCCCTCACCGCGCAGGCCTGCACATACTGCCAGTGCGAGTTCAGCGACAGCAGTCACTGCTGCGTATACTCGGTAAGCACCCACCCATGCAGCATTACAATACCCAAGAAGTTAATAAATTCACCCAAAGGATGCAACCATCGGAGAACTAGACTGTACCAGCATCTGCGCCAAAGCTCATCGGGCCGACGGTGTCAGCAACGCGGATGGCACAGCCGGTACTGCGTGCAATGCCGGGGGCAAGTATGAATGTATTAGTGCTATCACGGCGCAGGGTCGGACACCTTGCTACACTGAGTGAAGGAGTTGTCGGTTTGGGGAGAGGAAATTGACTGGATATTAGTTGCATGGAAGCATGTGGGAGGGTACGATTGGAAGTGTTGTCTCGGTAGGGAGATGCTGTACAGTTTGTTAGCTGATGTAACTCGCTTCTTATCCATGGTCTGTCTTATTGCTTGTCTTGTTTCCATTTATACATAGATAAGGTTGAGCTTACGCGTGAAACCATATTATGTTGAGGGGCTTCGTTCATTGCCGCGGAGATCTGAATCCAGAGTATCTCTTGTCTGGTAGTACGCTCTAAATTGTTCGTTCATTTTCTCGAATGCTACTGCCTAGATGGCGAGAAATACAGTCTAGAATCAGCCATTTCGTAATGTTTCCGTCTCTTCGGAGTCACCAAAAGAAAAATTATACTACGCCAATTTTGCTGGTATATAACGTAGTTACAAAATTCTTTCTTCCTGGCCGGATATCTTCGATACACTACACGACCTGACGGATACCACACACCCGGCAAGAAAACTTACCACATCCGTTCCCTGTATCCTTTAATGTAAGCCTTCGTTCTACACACCAATACTGATCTCTAAATTAACCCAACGCAAGGGAACAACATCAAAAACTCATGGCAAACATCAGCATCGGGGCCGAACATCAAAGGGTTGAATTTCCCACGAAAGCTAACCGCCTCCCCACCGGATTCCCACCGGTCCTGGCACGACGTGGCGTGCCTGAATTTATGTGGGATCAAGACATGTACATCATCCGGCATATGGCGGACAAACTCTCCAAGGACCAAAGTAGGGAGATATTTCTTGTGTGTTTTACTTGCGGGCTGTCAATCTGTTTCTACGGCGCTGCGGTGGATAAGTTTAATGGTCGGCTGCGTACATATGTTAATGGGATGAATGCACGGTATGCGCCGTATGGAGTTGTTTGGGAGATGAGATGGATTCCGTATAGTGGGACTTATATGTCTTATGAGACTTAGCTGCTATGTGTATGTGCATTGGTAGGGGCTGTAAGGAGGGGGGCCTGGGGTTGTTGGTTCAAGAGCTGAAAATAGATACCTAGCTAGTATCGGGCGAGTTAATGCTATGTGGAATCTCTTATGATTGGCTTATGCTAGGTCTTAACAATGGAACATACTTGCGACAGACCTTAAGAGAGGTAGGGTGCACGAGATCCTAACTGAGAAAACTCGGACGGATGGCGATAGACACATGGTTTGGATGAAAGATCATATGACTAGGCTAGGAAGTCCTCGTGAAGTTTTGGTTGGTTACGAGTGAGCACCTTAAACACTAAAGTAAGAATGTTCTCTGGAACCTAGTGGAGTTGCCTCCCTAGCTTAAAATTGCTCGCTTCGGGATCGCTGCTCGGATGTGGCGGGCCTGGAATCCAAATCGCCGGGAGGGGTTGTCGTTGGTTCCAAACAACAAGTCAACCCCGTTAACGGTCATTTCGGTAGACAGAACCTAATTTTGGAGCTTGCACAGCCATCGGCTCCGACTTCCATTGAGCTGTCAGTTGACCAGGCCGGTCTCTGAAGCTGTTCTTCCGTACCACGACCTGAGCGACCAATAACTCTATGACAAGTTATAAACATCGCGGGGAAGCATATAGTTCTAAGATGTTTTACGATCGTACCCAGATATGAGAATCTAGGCGCAGTCTGCCACATGTCAAAAAGATCGAGTCTGTTTGCCTGATTTTATGCGCAAGATTCTCTGAAGTAACCATAAAAAGGCCTAGCATAGCATACCAGCCACAAGGCCTGACCCTTACAGTTTCCCCCTCTACACTCCATGATGACCTCCTATCCCAACCAAACCCAATAACAGTCACATCCACTCACTAACTCAAGATGGACTCTCAATCCAGCGACCTCCACGAAACCACAACCACCGAATCCAGCTCCACCGACCCCTCACCACCCAACTACCAACCTTTAGAGCGTCTGATAGCTATCCCCCGCGTATGTAATCTCACTGACCGACTTCTAATCAACCTCCCTTTCGTCCGCGCCTACACCGACATCTTGACTACTAATTACGGCATCTCCGAGGAGGTCTTCCTCGAATTCATCGACGAGCTGAACATCATACAAGCCGGACACACAGCCCTGAAGTACATGCAAAAGGCCGGTCAAGCCATCCACTTCGCTGACCACATTGATCCCACGAAGATCACTGCGCTTCTGGGACAATGTTCAGACCTCACAGCCCGTCTCATCCACATGGCATATATCAAGGGACCGTTTGCGCGGAGAACGGCGTATCTTAAGAGAGCGAATCGATTGTTGTTCCATCCTAAACATCTTGAAGTGTCAATCGTCACTGGGAAAGAGCTGAGGAAGATACTGGGCCTTCATCCAAAATTCCCGCTCTGTGCGTCGCTATGTCCGCTGTGGACGGTCCCCTCGAAAACAGATCTAGTCCAGGGCGTGCGCTCGCGGGTTCGTGTACCCGGCAGGCAACTGTGCCAGCTTATCGACTATGTGTATGACTTGGATCTTGCGGCGGAGGCGAAGAGGGGATGGAGCCAGGAGAAGGGAAAGGTGCGGAGGGATGCGGCAAAAGTCGTTCGGGATTGGCAGGTTGTCTCAGAGGTTCAACATGAGATCTGGCGAGGGGAGGCTATTCAGTTATACGAGATGGCGGGTCAGGCTGCGGATCTAAAAGTGAGAAAGAAGCTACTGAAGAAGGCAAGTGAGATGGATAAGGAGGTGAGGCATACGGAGAAGATTACTTGGCTTGTAGTGCAGAATTGGCATGATTCGGCGTAAGGGAGTTTTGGTTTGACTGTACACAAGACTGCCACAGTTGTTAGGAGATAATGGCAATGGCATACCTCTTGTTCGGTTATCCAGCTCTTAGGGGAGCATATACTTCTAGTCACGTTGCACATTGGTGTGAGGTGCTTGTCTATTGGGTTTCTTCGACCAAACGTGCCTTCCGAATACGGGCTGTGCTCAAAGACCCCTCTAAACGCTGCATCTACAGCACCTGAAGACTACAATGCCTATTCGACCCGCACATGCTGGTCTTCGAATATTGGACAAGAGCAACCCACTGCTTCAATGCGGGTGCGTTCTGATTATATGGTGGAAGAAATAGGCACACATCCATGCATATATATATAACGTTGCTGCGCCCGTTGTAGAAGGGCCTTCGATCTGCGATCCAAGTTTGCTGGCAATACTACCCATGGAATTAGTTGCAAAGCATTTCACATGTCTCTGAAGGAACTACGATCGGGGGTACTTGCTAGGGAGCTCAGTACCATGGATCGAGCTCGGGAAGCGGAGTTCTAGGCCGGCCCTGCATGAGCTCCGGTTAAAGTTCAGAAACAAATTGATAGCACCTGCCACTTCTCATCCTACACTGTTCTCACGAGTAATTTGGAGGGTAACGGACTACAGCATCCATGTTTGAAGTGATTGGAAATGTCGGAGCTCATTAGCCCAAGAATAGATAGCATCAGAACCTACGTATTAAGTCTGGCCATGTAACTTGGAGCCAAGTACCCACCTTTTTTCTTGGTGACTTTCTGGCACTATTCTACGTCAAATGGCGAACAGTATTTGGGATAGCTATATGCCAGCCATTCCCTCCTTTCTGAAGCCCTGCGGCAATCTAGTTCCACGATGATTTACTCAACTTGTTCTCCAATTCTAGATCACGTCCCCGCTCCAGTCTACCTAGGAAAAGTGAGCATCCCACCATGCTTCTTTCGCCATCCCCACTTTCCTCTGACATGCTCTACCACAAGAATGGTAATTAACCCCGAACCTTCCATTGTTGTCTGATATCAATTGGTGGGGGCTTCGCAGTATTATATATTAGTAGTACAGTATGTATAGCTATCCAGCAATCCGTTTATCCCAAAGAGAAGTTAAAGGTGGAGGGTCAAGTCCCCTTTGGATGTTGACGAAGAGGAGGATGATGTTTTATATAATCAAGAAGATGATAGGCGAGTCGTCATGAAATGCTCACAGGGAGATCAACGGTTCCGTTGTCGATAAGATGACATCTTTGAATATGCAGATTGCATGTGCGGTCGTCAATCATTTTCGAATTGTGGTCGAATTGAAAGTGCGACCTGATTGTTATTGTGGCCAGCATTCGAAGGGTAATATAGTAGACCGCAGTGCGGACCAAGAATAGATGAAAATCACTGCCTGAGTGATGTTTGTTGTCGACAAGTGGCGGATTGAAACAACAAGTGACGAAAGTCAACACAAAGAATCTCAGAGTGAAGGCTGTCCTGTCCTCTGCATCCCGATTCAACAGAGCTCAATATATGTACAGGCAGCTAATATACAACATTTTCTTTTCCAACGATGCAAAGCCAGTGTGGCAATTTTATCATGTCTTCGTGAGATATGACAAGTTAGACATTCCAGATAAAAGCATGGGAATCATCAAGCCGGATGGCTCGGTACAAGGGTCTATTAACATGTGCGGGCAATATATAACGATAAACAAAGCATTTATGAAACTTCACCACAAGTGAAAGGGCTGTTGACATCACCTTCACGGTAATTAAGTCGCTGTTGGACATGATTAGTGACAATTCAATTTGAAAGGAGGGTTAGATAACTTACTATATCCTGAATACTCGAGTAAAGACCACCAACAAGAACAACAAGACCAAAGATAAAGACAAACAGATTCACCAGACTGGTCAACAGGTTCTCCTTGGAGTACCATGGGCCCTTGCGGATGAGGACATACCACATGATTGGGGGAAGGTAGAAGGAGAAACCAGAGGTGAACAGTGCTGATGTGATGGAAAGAAGATCATCGAAGAACGGAATTGCCTCTGCAATGACCCACGAGATGATGGTCAAGATAGTGATAACAGTAAGCCACGTGATCCAGCCCTTGGGCGTGTTGATATACTTGGTCACACTGTTGGCGTAGATCCGGCCGTGAATCAAGCGTCCAGCCACGATGGTGCAGATAGCGCCGGAAATGAAAATGACTGGAAGGGCAATGCCAAAGGCGACCTTGCTAACAAGCGTTCCAGCTGAAAGCAAGGCAGGAGACTGGACATCGACACCCACGAAGGCGTAGATAGTGGCGCCCGTGACAGTGTAAATGACGATCTGGAGGATGCCAAGAGACCAGATGGATTTGGTAAATTCCTTAGGGGTATGCATCTCATCCATGAAAGAAAAGAGGCAGCTGGCAAAGGTGTACGCAAAGACAATATTGCTAATCGCGATGAAACCATCTGAGAAGGTAGGATCGCCCTGCGGTGTAGCTGACCAGTCCACGGCTGCCAAGCCCCCGGTGGAATCCGTACCCCGGATGCCAGTAGCGATGATAGTGATTCCAATGGCTGCCACGATGGAAATGAAGTCCACATAGCCAAGCCAGGCCATATCGGCAAAAGAAGAGGGGATAGAGAGCAAGAGAAGAATCACCGCGGATACCACGCTCCAGACGACGGAGCAGATGCCGCTAGAGGTGATATGGCGAAGGGCAATGGTGCCGGTTAAGCAGTTGGAACCCGTCAGGAAGATCAGCTGGAGGATCAACATGAAGGTGAATAGTTCCCGACCCCAGGTACCCATCAGCAAGGCACCCGCATCACCATAATCCCGAACAGCCGGGAAGGCGAGCTTCACCTGTCCAATCACGTACGAGGTGTAGATGGCTATCAAGCCGATGCCGACGCAGCAGATAACGCCGGCCACCATGCCGAGCGATGCGAACGCGGAAGGAATAGATAACGATCCTAGGCCAATGGCCTCCACAATGAGCATGACCGTTAGACCCTTCCAGCCGAGGCGATGATACTTGGCTTCTCCGGCCTCGATGATCTGCTGTTCCCCATCGTCCACAGCGTCAGGCAGCTTGCCATCGACCCAGGCGTTCAGCTTTGCGGGGAGTGGCTCCTTGTTGAACTTATTACTCCCATTGCCGGCCTCTAAATTGCCAATTGAAGACTCCATGGTGAGCTGAGCCGTTCCGAGCTTGTACTGGACGCAAGACAGGGGAAGCAGCAACACATGAATAATCGAATCAAAGCTTGAATTTTTGTGGTGACTGTAATTCGCACCTCCCAGACATTGACATCGAGTTTTCACCGTCCTTTACCGCGGGGTAATGCTGTCTGAAACCTGATTACTCCCCGCCGTTGCATCAGTCATGATTGAGGCCCGCTGATTGGGTGGGGGACGGGAATCATACCATCTGGGTCCAACATGGACCAATTATGGGCTGGCGGGAAACTCAAGCGTATTCCGCTTTCAACCCTCCCGCGAAGGGTTTTCCTGCGGAAAACTGTGAAATTTTTGCACTGGTGGGTTCTCAACGACGTAGTTGCACGATCTGTCTGTCTCCTCCACAGTAGCCACTTCATAACCGCCATTGACATTCAAAATTTCACGTCAAATCTCGCTTCAGACGTTACCATTATTACAGTAAATGTAGCTTTGGCTTCCGGATCAATTACATGGCAACTCAATCAAGAGTGTTTGGCTTGTCCAATCTCATGACGCTGTGAGACGGAAGATAAATTATAATCCGTCGGAGTCCGGACGTGATTGGCAGCCTGCGATCTCAACCTGCCAATCCGATTTTAGAAGTCTTGGCGCCGCAAGGGATGTTCACCGCAGCCTCAAGCCATGTGGGCGCCACCCACGCCAAGTTGTCCACCTGACCTGTCTTATCTGATCCGGGGTCGATCCATCTGGGGCTTTCTCTTTTGTTTTGGGGATAAGTCTCGAGTGTAGGATTAGCACTTCAACTCAGATACGACCCATCCAGTAATACATGTGCTGCCTAGCGACTGTCTTGTTGAGAATTAACTCAATAGACCATTGACAAACCATGCACGCCAGCTTCAATATTACTAATATTGAAGCTGGCGAAATACAGAGTATCTTACGACTTGGAAGTGCGACATATACTACATAGAAACGGATAAATTCAACACTCATGAGGCATAAAGGGGATAGTTATGATAAGCTAAGCAGTAATTCCCAAACTCCCCACATCTTAGAGAGAGCAAACGCTATCCATGAACAACAAGATCAGTCTGTATATTAAGTAGATAGAGTAGAATAATTCACAAAGCCAATCATGTGAAACCAGAGGCTAGATATAAATCAATAAGCAAATGCTAATATTTATAGGATCAACCCCCTTCCAATCGAGTGCGTGGGCGACGTGGTAAAGGATTCTGATATTCTGATAAGAACTTCGAAAGCTTGATCGCGCTCACATTTTTCTTTAAAATCATCATTACCCCTGTCTTCTAGAAGGGCTCAATCGCGTTCTCCTACGGATTGAAGATTCTGGTCTAGGGCAATTGCCATGTTCATGATATTTCCCCAAACTACCTGGGTGATCGGACAGGTCATCACGCGAAATGGAGTAACATTGTGTGGGGCGTAAGGTTACGCTCGCGGCGCGGGCGAGAGTCGGCATTGGAACTGGCTTTCATCTGCTGCTTCGAAATAGGTTTAGTGATAAAGTTGGCTCAATTATCTTCTAACTAGGTATTTTTATAATAGTTTTCACACCTTGTCTCTATGTATGTAATGGTCATTCCATAGCTGGCATTTGCTACTATTTCAAACTGATGTTCCCTGATGTCTGGCTCTAGGCAACCCGCCACGCTGGATCCATCGTTAAAGTTGGTCTACTCAACGCCCTTGTAATAACGGGCCAATGAACATGCGATGAGAAAGGCTTTTTCGAATCTGCCTGCTATTCCAAGCGTTCTTGTTGCCCTGGTACAACCTTTTGGCAAACGTTGCAATACCGGTTCTCGCGATGGTCAGGGCTGGTTTCCCCGTCTCATCTCGCTCCGTCTTTTCTCAATTGACTCCATTCGGTCCATGTTCATTTTTCCATACTCCCGTTGTCTGTTCCAGAACAATGGTTGTAGTATAAACTGATGTGAATGCGGAACTTGAAAGTTGAGAGCCTCGTCGATGGTGCCCGCTTGATTGGTTGTGAGGATGGTCATGCACACTGCAAGGGGAGCATCAATTTTTACTACGACGTGGAGCACCTTGTGATGCTGGTCTACCAGGATGCAGATTCCATGTTGAGGTTTACACAGAAAGATCAGCCCTGTTCTTTAGACAGGAGAAGCTATATCGGCAGCAGGGCGACTCGGGGCCAATTGAGTCTTAAACGAATCTGGTCGGTCAAAAATTGGGGTTTTTACACGGTTTGAATGGCACTATTGGTACGGAACTCATTTTCTGGCGATTTTAAAAAAAAAGAAGACATTACAGTGTCAGGCAAAAAGAGACATCCCAACAATTCACGCCACTGGCTTTTTCCCCACGGCTGTCAAAATCCGTCGCTGGTGTACAACGACCCCCTCCTCAGTTTCCTTAACTGCAGCGGCGAACATAGCAACCCAGGCCTCACGAGACAGCGGCGCATTAGGAGCATCAGCTTTAGGTGGGAACAAGGCAGTCAATTCTTCCCACACCATCAAGTAATCCTCAGTCCAGGCTTTGTAGTCCTGTTTGCGCTTATCGTGAGCAAGAAGACGCGTATCCTGCAGCCCAAACTGCGCCAGGTGGGTATCGAGCTCATCGATCCAGTCATTGCTCATGCCCTTCGCTTTGAACCCGCCCTTAAGCACCTGTACGACACGGTCGCAGGCTTCCGTGGAGATATGTGGGGCTGGGGCCTCGACAATCAAGAGGTCGCCGCGGTTTTCTTCCCACTGCAGGTAGCCACCGGGCTTCAGAAGGGATGAGGCCACGGAGAGGATGGGGGTGAGGTTGGAGCCTGACACTATGCTGGAAAAGGCGCGGATGTGCACTACATCGTAGGTGCCGAGGAGGTGGGCGGGAAAGGGCTTGGCGAGGATGTCGAGCTGCTGCAGTGAGATAGAGGCGGGCAGGTAGGCAGCTGCCGGGAAGTTGATGGGGTTGATGTCAAAGCCATCCAGTTGGGCGGTGATGTTTTTCTTCGCCAATTGGGTGTGTAAATCGATCAGCCAGACACCATTGCCACAGGCGAGGTCAGCGATTTTGAGAGGCTGCTGGGTGGTGGCCACGGCCTTCTCGACAGCGGGCTCTAGGAGATAGCCGAGGGTGCTTTGATATAAAAGGTGCTGGAGATGAAGGCGGGCAGAAGAACGGAAGTTCCGAGCTGTAGATGTCCAGTACGTGGACTGGTCATAGTTCTCGATGTGGGAAGAAGCGGTCATCTTGTAAGATGCAGGAAAGATGAGGAACTAGGATTGAGATCTTACAAGATGTAAATTGATTCCCTTTCAACAGGCGCTGGTCTGCTTTATCATTTAAGAGCATTCAATTCTCCACTAAGCCCCATATTATAGATACTAAAGGGTAGGACAAAGAAAAGAGGGGGGTGTGGGGCCCGAGATAATTACGTGTTGAGACCACTAGCAACTCAGAAGTAGTAGACCAAACTGAAAGAGATATCCCGCTCTACTGGCGCAGTAGGAAGGTAGACATGTCCCAACAGTACGCACTACTGCTTCTGGCTAATAAGAGCGCTATGTGTCACCGCCCAGTTACTGGGAATAAGGTATGCTAATCCATACTTGGCTAAGTGCTTACTTTGCATGTGACTCCCTAGTGAGCTACTAAGTGTCTATAGACTGCCAGCCTTGCCGACATATCCCTGTCAAGCCTTCCAAGGAGGGTTAAGATGTCAGTCCAACAGGTTTTGCGAAGCCAGGCGCGCCCAGCACACAGCCCCTGTGGGGTAGGGTGACGCCCCCAGCTACATGGGCGAAAGTAATACGCCAGCAAGCTAACCAACAAGGCCACATTCAGATTTTCAGTCCCTTATGATCTAATCAGGCCAATTCAAGCAGAGGCTCTACGAGATCATTGGATTATGTGCGCCAAGTGTAACTTGACCGTTTATTTCACAGGTGGTAGATTTCACTGATTTCCAACCCTACTGAATAAAAGTATGGAAAATTGTTCTCCAACTCCACTTACAGCATACAGTCGATTCTCATAAAGCTCTAAGCTGGCCTACATGTATGCTACCTAGAAGGAAATTGTATATAGACATCCACCAACATTCGAAACTTCGAAACACAGTAAATAAATTATAGATTTGCCGCACCACTAGAACCTCCCTCGAGAGCCCCCCTTGACGCCAGCCAACGACGGGTTGCTTCCACTGGCCGAATCATGCCTGATATGAGCGTGATAATCAATATCAATAGACGTAAGCTCAAAATAATGCGAGACACGGATACCAGACTTGGCTTCTTCCTCATCTGGCTTCAGTTTGTAGAAGAAAGTCTTCAGTCCCGACAAGGTGCCTGTCGGGATGTCAAGGGAGACTCCGGGTTTCTGCTGTCGCTCGCCCAGGACCACCATCTCTTTACTTCCCGGAGGTGTCAACAAGCGCTGTTTGAGATACACGAACCCAGACTCGGTTCTTTGCTTCCAGGTGCGCAACACAACAAAGAACACGGGGACACAGGCGCAGAGGACCCCGATGTTAAGCTCAACCACGCTGGAGAAAAAAAATTAGAGCCGGATTACTCCAATGCGGGGATGGGGCTAAGTGGGGATCAAGCTATGTTTCTTACCACATTGCTTCGAATTTGACCGAAAGCCACCGCTCATCTTCTATAGTAAGCACCATAGCATAATAACGGAAAATTGTACCAGCGATAGAGCAGCCAAGCGACCTGGTGGTGGGGTGTTAGTAGTCCCTGGGACAGGCACTGATGCCTTGATGGGGTCCGATGACTTACACGAAACCAAACAGAAAAATACACGCCACACCAATCTTCTTCTGCGTTTTCATGTTCAAACGGGAGACAATACCAGTGGGAATTGTCAAGACATAAAAGTCGGAGAGAACACTGAAGATGCCTTGCGTAAAGTCGAGTTGTCTGGATGCGACGCCCATCCGTTTGACATTGGCCATCGACCCCCACCCTCCGTCGCCACGATGGGGGACCATCCAAGCCAGCATGGCTATAGTAATAGTCATATAGCCTAGGACAGTGAAGAATATTCCACCCCAGATCAGGGCTCGAGCGCGACGCGATGGAGAGAATATGCGGAGGTAGAATGCAAGAATCGAAATCTTGGTAAACATGGCGCTGATATTGTACAGACATCCAGCTGTTACAGAGTACTGTCATGATAATAGTTGAGGGCTGTATAACAATACAAATAATTCGGATTTATATCGTACCTTATAAAACCATGGAAAGATTGAAGACACGGGGGTATCCCAGGCATGACGACCCCAGACATCCTTGAGGACTGTCTATGAATAAGCGAACTGGATTTACGGAAGCGAAGTATGGGGTAAAGTGCGACGTACAAATTGGAATGAGAACTCCAGAAAATGAAGCCGCACCGAGCTGGTAGAGAGAGGAGCTGGTAGTCAGGAACAGAGGGATCTATCGGGAAGTAGTATTGGGTGTATAGTTACAGCTCCGAGGACCAGCAGATCTGAAGGAGTTCCAATCAGTATAATGAACTAACGGCAATAAGTCGACAGATTGTATGCGTAACCTACAGTCATCAATTTCCATTTGCTTTGCCTTCAGACGGACATATGCCCGTAACACAAAGGCTACGACCATGATAGGCAAGGTCAGCCATATAGACAGCCTGCCGGCCCAAGAGATGGACACAGGGTTCACAAAGTTGGTCGTTTGCCCTGGAGGGGGTTGCGACATGGGGACTCCTGGTCAAGTGGCGCTTTAGAGATTTGCTGAAACAAGGTGTCCAAGTGAAGGAGATAGAAGACATATAATGATACTTTAGAAGATGGGTTGGGAAAGCTTCCAGACTTAGGACTTTATTCTCCGCCACACTAATGGTGCTGGTCCCTCCAATTTATGTTTTAGCAGACTACCGTAATTGTTATAGTTAGTAAATACTCTTCTGATCTGGACGTGTGGTTTTGGGAGGTACTCCTCATCCGTCACGCAGCCAAGAGTCGCGACCGGAAAGTCCACCATTCAAAGGTATGTTTGGCACTGCCATCCGCTGTGTTGCAGGAGGCTAGTAAATAGTGAGGGGGAGGAACGGGGTCTTTGGGCTGGTGATCAACGAACGGCAATGCTCGTATGCTGGGTCAAACCCCTCCATCAATCACCACAAGCTTTGCCATGATCTTCGCAGGATTTACGGTCCGCAGCTCGAAGGAATGCGGGCCGGAAACTTAACGCTTGGTCCTTGAGGAATAAGGAAACTTTTGAATCACACTAGCAACTGAGCGTCTACTTTGTATTCGTAGTTTTCTACTTTCTTTACTTTGTTTGTTCCAACTACCAAGGGATATTCGCAGTATGTCGATTAATAACCAACGTCGATAAGGACAGGGCCGACAATCACTACCTAATTAGCAAGAGAAAGTATTTATAACTCAATAAATGAACGAGCTTCAGAGAGGGGAACCTGGCCAGCGGCACATGCATGATTGGATTGTTTAACCGCCAGTCTGTCCAAACGCCGCTAGTTGGACGCTAGACATGCCGGCCAAGAGACTATCGGAGAGAAGAGTAGCAGAGAGGGAGAGGAAGGGTATGTAGTGGTGTACCTACCGCATCGAAGCCGATATTTCTAATGTAGTCCAGCTTATTGGTGATACGCTGGAAAGAATCTCCGCAGTGGTTCCCTTGTGGTGCATCACAAGCAGCGTGGTTGAGTTATCGGATCGAGCAAAGCGACTGGTCACGATGTGATAGACCGAGCGACCGATTCAACGATAGCCTAAGAGAAGGGAAAGTAACGGGACCAGAAATGTAGATTACCTTTGAGCTAAACAAGAACGCAGGCTCGGGATCTTAGTGTTACCAGATTCACATAAGCGTAGCTGTACTGATTCCATAGCCAATATCAACGTGGCAGTTGCAGCCGGCCAACACATGAACTCTTGACCATTCCTCATCCATTGAGTGTTGCAATCAATGAATGCATCCCGTCAGGCATAGATTCCTTCCTGATGTGAGGCAGTAGGGTGATCTTATTGTATCGCGGGTATCGGCCGCGTCTGGTAAGTGTCAAATGCCAACTCGAGACTGAACAGCATATCAGGATAATATCCCATACTAAAGGGGTTACTGAAGGTTCCGAGTCTGGGGTATGCTTTAGCTCGCGGAAAATTATCTGAACTTGTTCGGTTTCGAGTTCGTAGTGAAATCATCTCAGTCATTACCTCTGCACCCAGGCGTAATAGGTAGACAGACCATGAATCGTCTCTTTTTACATAGACAACGAAAGTCGGGTTACATACAGATAATATCTCTGTAGCATCATCTTAGAAGCTCAAGGCAGCGTATCGAGCCATCAACTCGACTAGTCAATTACTAGTCCTTGTAATGAATGACTCACCAAATAAGCACTAACTAACTATATAACTATACTCCAGTCCTGAAAGTCATTCCCCTCGGCTTTCTATCAACTCACTTCATCTCTGTCCAAAATTCATCTCTATCTCTCTTCCTCTTTTCCATTACGCCATGGACCACTTCAAACACAGCGCCTCCATCGGCACTCACACCCTCAGCTACGCACTCCGCGGCCCACCCCGCCAACCCAACACCCCACTCATCATAATCCTAACCGGAATCACCAGCAGCGCTCTAGAATGGAGCGCCGTATGCCGTCACCTCTCCACCGACGCCTCCATCCTTCTCTACGAGCGATCCGGATACGGCCGCAGCGAACCATCCCCAAACCCACCCGACTCACTCACAATCATCGACGAGCTCTGCCACCTCCTTGGCTCCGCAGCTCTATCCCCGCCATACCTCGTCATTGGACACTCCTGGGGTGGTATCCTGGCACGAGAGTTCCTCGCCGCCAGACCAGACGATATCTGCGGCATGGTGCTCGTAGATCCAGTCCAGGAGCGTATGATGATGGAGACGTGGCCGGATCCTAGCATTGCTGCTGTTACCGATGGGTTGGATTACATGGATGTTGTTGGGTTGATGCGCGATCGTGTGTTGACTGATGAAGAATGGGGAGATTTGATGGCGGAGGAGCAGAGTGAAGGGCATGCGAAACAGGCGGCGCGAGAACTGCCGTTTCTGCAGATCAGTCGGGGAGTTCTGGCAAAGAAGGGGCAACTTGTTCCTGGGAGAAATCTCTTGAGGGGAAAGCCGTTGAGTGTATTAGGAGGGAATTCGAAGAGGGACCATGAGTTGTTGTATGAGGCTGGTGTGGCGAGGGGGGGAGGTACGGCTGCGCAGCGGGAGAGGTTCAGGGAGTATCTGACAAAGTGGGAGAGGTGTGAGGAGGAGTTCCATCGAGAATTGTTGAATTTGTCGAGCGTTGCGCGTTATTCGGTGACGAGGCGGAGTGGGCATAATATTCAACTGACGGAGCCGGAGTTGATAGCGGATGAGGTTCGTTGGGTGTTGGAGATGATCCAGAGATGATGTGTGTGAAGAGACGCGTATGGTTCCTTTTCAGGAGACCTTGCTGTTATAAATAAAGCTTGTCAAGTTATGGGCGGTTAGCTGTATGTGACCCTTGGCTGAATGCATGGTCTCTTCCGCGAAGACGATAATAATTTCACTCACTCACCTGCTGCACCGAGATCTCAAGTCCCCGAAAGTATGTCAAAAAGTCATCAAATGACTGGGTAGACATAAAGCATGACTGCACATTAAGAACCGACTCCGCGCCTCGGCATGAGGAAGATAAAGATCATACTATATTTGATGCAGCAATCCTTGCTAATGGCAAGCTTGGACAACCTGTGTGGAACTTCGACTACAGATAATCGGAAATTGCGTCACAGATGTAATACTAGTAAATCATGGAAGGAGCAAATCTGCCAGAAAGGTGCGTTCATGCTAATCCGTCACGCAACATTTTCTAGAGAAGCGAAACACTCATTCTGCTTCAATATTCAACTAGATATGGTAAGTTTTTTCAGCATTGTAACAAAGGAAGCTAATTATAAATTTTGCAAACCAAACCGTCAACAAATCCATTAATAGCCCGGCGATTGATCCAAGCGAGCCGTCCAGCATAGTACAAGCCCCCACCAAGCAACCCCATCACCACCCCCGAGACGGCCATCAAGTCCCAGTTCTTCGCCTTATAAGCTGGCATTCGCATATCCGCCGTCTGCAGATGCATTGGACGAGTCTCCTTCCCATCAACGACCCTCGACTCATTATCGTATAGAACTTCCTCGATCAGATCAGCGCCCAAATACTTGCGTCGAGACGCCACATGGGCAATACGTTGGAGACGCTGCACATTGCGCGCATAGCACCCGTCACGATCTTCCATGATCAATTTTGTCTTGGAGTAGAGTTCATCGGCCGTGAAACGGAACTTGTGTAGCAGCTCCGACGTTCCGTTTCCGGCCAGTTTTGCCGCATTACCGATCTGGTCGAAGTAGAATGACATAACTAGCATCGGTTTGCCATGATAGAGGCCTTCGTTGGCGCTGGACCCACCTCCGTGGGTGAAATAGATGCGGGTATGGGGATGATCCAGGATCGACCGTTGTGGTGCAAAGAAAGGGAACTTCCAGTCGGCGTGTAACCCTTCGAGAAGGTCTCCGAAGCTAATTGTCTTGCCTTGAATAGTGAAGGATTCCGCATTGTCGAACAGCTGCCGTCCGCTCCTACCCACTGACCAAATTACGCCGTCAATAACGCCTTCTTCCATGGCTTGGATAAGTCCTTGAAGAATCTTCCGAGCATCTGCGTGGGGAAGGATGATATGCGTCCCCAAGGCAATATATATGGTCTTTGGGTGGCGGTCAAGGAACTCCTGGTGGGGCGCGTCCAATAGAGGATACTCATCTGCTAATATTGGTCCGACTGCTGAGACCAAGGGAGGAAGGTCTTTGGGCACTTCGAGACCGAAGAAAGAGTTGACTAGAAGTAGATAATCAGGTTTCTTTGGCGTTGGAAGAAGGTAATTCAGACCCGCTCGCTTGCGCATGGCTCTGGTCCAGTTCCTCAGTTTAAACACCTCAGGCAAGGCCCGCACGACAACAAGTTCATTGTTGATGCGCGACCATATTGACGCATTCTCCGAGGTTAAGGTCATATCGAGTTGGAAGCCCGGCTGGCCGGGGATATACGAGCAGGGAACCATCAAGTAGGGCATCTGTGGCCAGACAATAGCAATGGGGACCTTGTATTCCAGTTGGATGTCCTTGACTGCGTCAACGAAGAAGTCAGCAACCAGCATGTCCGGCCGCGTAGCAGGATCATCCATGATAGTTTTCAGTCCATAATAGGATTGTGTCCACAGAGAGTCGAAGAGGTACTTGGACTCCATGACATCGCCTAAACCTCTGGCCGGATCCCAGAGCCGGCTGCGCATGTAGTGCGCATCAAGCTGTTCCTCTGTCGGCCCAGGCCCCATGAGATGCGTCGACGAGATTTGGAAGCCGCTGGCCCATTCCTCTTGGCCATCGAGCGTTGCGAAGTCAACTACGTGCCCTCGGTTGGCCAGGACCTTCCCCAGTTCAAGAACCGGAGCTGCAATGAACCATTTGTATCCAATTAGAATCTGTAAGGCCAAGCAATAGGCAGGCATACTCACCGGCATGGGTGTAGCCTCCTCCAGTAACTACCAGGAGAATCTTCCTGGGTGGCAGGATGATGTCCGACATAGCCTTGTGTTGGGCGGAGTTGGGATAAATAGCCGCACGCTCTCGGGATGATGGATGGATTTAATACAAGCCCGGGGTTAGTGGGAGTAGATCCGTGGCCTTCAACCAGCTGTCCTTCGGTGGTGCCACACAAGCGGCTAAAGTCGATCGCCAGTCATGCTTCGGCCACACATAAGCCTGACACCGTCCATCCCTGGTTTCGGCCCCTTTCAACCGCGTTCCGCTAGTTGATGTTATTTCTGGATCCGTACTTAATATCCTCTCGGATTTCGATACGATTTTGAAATGGTGGAGTCTCTACCTCTGATGGTTGTTGGGATTCTGCAGGGGACAGCCAAAGTTGGTCTGCCAGAAAGGGACCACGGCAAGACAGTGTCCGAGATTCCGATCAGGCGGGCCACATATATCTCGCATGGTAATAATCCGTGTGGCATAATCAGAATGGATATTCCGATTTTAGCATTCACGAAATTTTCTTCATTGCGTCTTGTGTAGAGCAACAGTTGCGCGCTCTGGAGTCTTATCGACCCATATTCACGAACATGCGATTGCGAGCAATGCGATGAGAAATAGCTCGGGCGGCCCTGCGGTGGAAACTGAAGATGCCGAGTAAATGATAAAGACGTATGAATGATCGTTCATGTTTGTGGGAAATGGTAGGAAACTATAGAAGCACTAAGTGATTAGCGAATCTTCTTTTCAAAATTGTCCGGGAGCCGTCGAGGATAACAGGGCGTGTCTCAAGCAGGCCTCTTTCTCACCGGTGGATAACCCTTGAACCAAGACTAATAATGCCTCTCCTCCATCTGGTACAAACTCTTGGGATGCCCTGCGGCCAGAAAACGGACATGGTTACGGGCATATTGGGCGATAGTTTTGCCTTTTCAAGCCACGTGAGCGACAAAGGAACTGGCCGCTGACGGTAGGGGATAACAATAGGTCTCTCGACCACATAGGAAGAGCTGATGATATAAACATTCAGATAGCTGGAGAACAGTTTCGATGGGTATCATTTATCGGTCTATAAATCTGGGGAGCGTTCTGAGATTGGAGAGGGCCAAGATAGGAGGGTGGTGATGGCGTGCAGCAAATATCAAGAATCAAAGCGACTCTTTTGATTTGGGGACGAAGACTCCGCTTCACTCCTCGTGGCATTCCTAGGTACGCTTTCAACTACTATGGCTCAACTAACATGTTGTTGGGAACCACCTCAGCCAATTATAAATCCCTTTCAGCCCTGCTTAATACCAGCACCAGACAAACAGGTGGCGTACTATATAGAAGTTTGCGAACCAACGAAGTTCTTCCCTAATAAATCCCACTCACTCCTGATTATACAACGACGCAAAACCAACCCATGTAACCAGTAGATATGCCTTTATATACCTTCAGAATAGACAGATTACCCATCATTTCCGTCCCGACGCCGCCTTGGCAATAACAATCCCCAGTATCATCATACACACAAACATGACCACAAACACCATCGCTACTATGCGACAGCAGTCTGCATGAGCTTGTCGTCTCTCTCGACGAATGATAGTTCGCTCGCACACTTCGCAGTGAGAGTGCTCTTGGGGGGTAGCGCCCGGGATCAAGGACGTGGTAGGGCCGTCTCCATGATCATGTTCATGGAATGATGGGAGTTGGATTTCGGGGTCATCGTTGGCTTGAGTGAGGGTGGTGTACTGTGTGTGTTGATCCTTCATCAGTATACTGATCCTCAACACTGTATCTTCAAGTAATGTACGGGGGGATGATGTACAGTGTGATTGTGGCGGCTAGTCGATTCCGTCTCTTCATACGGAGGGGTTGGTTCGGTGGGTGGTGGGAGGCCCATTTTGATCTGACTTGTGTTTTCTGGTAAAGTAGAAGCGTTTGTTTGTTCTTTTATCTTTGATTTTGGATAGATTTGATGAAATATGATCGGAGTACTATCTACAATTCTGGGGAATGGTGCTGCCTGGGTCAGCCTTATGCGTAACTGGGTGGTGAGTGGGAAGGAAGGATTCGGGGCGCAGTGCATGTGCCGTGCACAGCCACAGAGTCATTGTGCTTACTATGTGTGTGTAAGCCTCTATAATGCGCTCTGTGCTTTGGACTCTAGGCTATTTATGAAAAGCAGTGGCTGGTATTTCTATGGTCTCTTATCTTGGACGTATGCTTGACAACTGATCAAAACTGATCGTCGGTATGCCATGGTCCACAGCTAGCAGTATCGCCTTTGAATGAAAAGGTACTGCCAGTTGGAAGTTGACGAGCAAGTAGACTTTCTACTGTGGCATTTGGGCATAAAGTCGATTAGCATACTCGGTCTAAGAAAAAGTATCACAATAAGAAGCAATAGGTGTCGTGTGTTCGATGTCTTGTGTCTTGTAGATTGGCATGAGTAGTATAAAAGCATCAGGCATCAACAGTGGCTGCCTCAGAGCCTCAGGCCAGTAGCAGCGGCTCATCTGAGCACGTGCCGCCCAGCCAGCATCTGCTGAATGCCGATACGATACGATAAGCCTCTCTTATCGCGAATGTCCGAATGTTATCAATTTTGTTTTTGCCCCCGCCACCCCACTTTCCTTCAGAAATGGGAAATCAGAATCAAATGGCATTCGAAAAGCTAATAAGCACAGGAGACTCTCATATACAAACCAGTAGACTGTCAAAAGAGAGGTCCTCCCCCGGTATCCTATTCATGTGCAATAGATGAACATTCCGCGTGATCGTACAGTAAACCTACGAAGAGGAGCTGACCCCAAACCCAATCTTAGCTCCGGTGAACCGCGAACCCACATCAAGAACATTACCTAAATAAAATTCTCTTTCTCCCCGCGTTCCCCTCGCTCAATCTGGCCATTTCCCCCAGACCAGATACTACTATCTACCTTGGTCATAGTCCATCTCCCCTTAGGTCAATCCCAGTTTATCAGCTACGTCATCACCATCACCATGCCCGACAAAGACGCCGGAACGCCCCGTGTTTTCCTTTACCGCCATGGTACCCCTCTTCCCACTACCCAACAATAATAGAATTCCCCACTAAGTATCTCACAGGAGAGACCGAATGGTCCAAAAGCGGCCGCTACACCGGCATCAGCGAAATCCAGCTGACTGACGACGGAGTGAAGCAAGTGTCCGCTTCCGGCAAGATCCTTGTAGGAGCTGGTAAGCTTATTGACACGGCTAAACTGGCTCGCGTGTATGTGTCTCCGCGCCAAAGGGCAAAGCACACCTTTGACTTGGCCTTCGGGGAGGCCGAGAAGCAGGGCTTGAAGGAAGCTGGCAAGGTGGAGGAGACGGAGCGGCTGGCGGAGTGGGGTTATGGCTTGTATGAGGGGATGCTGACCAAGGAGATTCGCGCGCTGAGGAAGGAGCATGGGCTTGATGGTGAGAGGGCGTGGGATATCTGGAGGGATGGATGTGAGGAGGGAGAGTAAGTCATTCCTATAACCATGTTAGATCCGGTTCTTTTACGTTGGAGAGGCTAACAGCATAGATCACCTGCGGATGTTACGGCCCGGATTGATAGCCTGATCGAAGAGATCAGAGATCTCCATCGGGGAAACATGCACGGAGAGGCACCTGCTGATGTTGTTCTTATTGCGCATGGCCATACGCTCCGTGCGTTTACCAAGCGCTGGTTGGGCTATCCGATGGAGTTTCCGTTGTCGATGATGCTGGAGCCTGGTGCTGTGGGAGTTCTTAGGTATGTTCTTTCCTGTTCTACATGAGTGGATCGCTAACGGTGTCTGTAGTTACCAGCACCACAGCATTGATGAGCCTGCTTTTCTGGTTGGATATGGATTTCCCTTGGAGAAATGATGCACTTAGAGGCATCTGGTTTATACGGGAAGGTCGTATAGATGAATATATATCGGAATTACTAGACAATGTAGATGGTATGGTTCTATGCTGGGGGGAGGCTAGCGCCACACCAGCCAGGCCTTCTCCACACTTGTTTTCGCTTATGCGACACCCTCAAACTACTTACTCTCCGCCTACCTGCTAGCCGGTGTGGCGGTAACGCCTCTTTTATGTTAGAATCAAGACATCTGTTTTACTGCTACAAGCGGGATATTTAGTAACAATGCGAAAGTCGTCATGACGAATGCTAACACCAAGTTCGGCTTTTCCGGGTAGTTGGTATAAAGTGTTCGACTATCTAGTGTTCACCTGACAGCTTGAAATACACAAAAGCCACTAGCGTGCTAAATCAGGCCTTCTCCTTAGTACTTAGTAGTATCTCCGTCGATCTTCTAGTCAACCGTCCAGTGTTTGCTACTCCCCTACAAAATAAACACTGATTAAGCCACCGCCAACGCCAACGATTCCGTCAACCACAACATGGAGAATGTCCCTACGGTCGGGAACCTTGATCACATCATTGCGTCAAGGGATGGAAAGGAGTTCCACCCAGAACGTACCTTCCGTATCATAAGAGGCTGTCTACGCTGCCGGTCCCCGAAGCAGGGTCTAACTGAGGAGCTGCGATATAGTGTGCACCATTGTACTCAGAGGGGTTGCAAAGGCAAATAAGTATCTATGTGACCACTTGAGGTGAGATCAGTCGACTGTAGCGAAAAGAAGTGAGTCTGAAAGCGATGTAGCCAGTATTGTATCACATGACCATATCGAACCCTGTTTCGATGCTACTTATATACTCTAAAGCGATATGTACGTGCATTACAATCGCCCTGGCTCTCACTTACAGTGGCCTTTATTCATATGTTCTTGATAGCAAATGAGCTCTTGATCAAGACCTTGGTTTTTCACTGAAAATTGCTCTTTGACCGGGGCCGCCATAGCCTCAGATACCTCTTAACCTGTCAAACGGCAAGAGACGCTCCTCAGAAGGCGTTCCTTCCTTAAGCTTCATGATGTTCCAGCTTCCTTCCTTACGATGCTCTTTCCTGTGCAATATTCTCAGTCTTCTATATCTTCTTCTCGTCCCCTTGAATTCCTCTTTTCTTCTCCTCTTCTCCTCCTCATACCACTTGTGGTTCTGTGTTGTCGTTTCGCTGCCGCGCTACCCTCAACTCACGTTTATCAATCTGTTCCCTTGCTATACCTTGACTTGGTGTTTGTCCTCCCTCTCCCTCACAGCATGTCTCCTCCTTCATCTCTTCGTGGAGGACACCAGATGGCCCGTCTGCGTGTTCCTCAGTTCTCCCCCTCCTCTTCCTCCTCTCTCCCCCCCAGCGGTCAGAAGGATCCAGCACGTCCTTCTGTTCGTTCCGCTCCGTCTGTGCCCACCATGGTGAGCACGTCCTCTCGTTCTGGGGTGCCTGCCCCCACTGCCCCCAAGTACTTGCGTACAAGCAAGCACTTGTCCACTCCCTCCCCTGTGGCTCCTCGGACCACGTCCTCTCGTTCCTCCATTCCCACCCCTGTCTCTCGTTCCTCCATCCCCTCCCCTGCCTCTCGCTCCCCTGTGGCTAAGGCCACGTCCATTCCCTCACCCCCTTCCCTTTCCCCGGGTGCGTCGTTCCTGAAAAGGTTCGACGAGAAACACCCAACTTCCACTCGTTCTTCCCTCCCCGTCCCTGTCGCTCGTTCCCCTGTGGCTCCTCGGACCACATCCTCTCGTTCCGCCCCCCAAAAGACTACCAACTGCCCTAGCGCCACTTCCACTCGTTCTTCTCCTTCTGTGGCTCCTCGGACCACGTCCTCTCGTTCTCCTATTCCCCTCCCTTCCTCTCGTTCCCCTGTGGCTCAGGCCACGTCCATTCCCTCTTCCTCTTCCCTTTCCCCGGGTGCGTCGTTCCTGAAAAGGTTCGACGAAAAGCACCCAACTTACACTCGTTCTTCCCTTCCTGTCCCTGCCCCTCGTTCTTCTGTGGCTCCCAAGGCCACGTCCACTCGTTCATCTATCCCCACTCCTGCCCCTCGCTCTCCTGTGGCTCCTCGGACCACGTCCTCTCCTTCTGTGGCTCAGGCCACGTCCATTCCCTCTCCCCCTTCCCTTTCCCCGGGTGCGTCGTTCCTGAAAAGGTTCGACGAAAAGCACCCATCCACTCGTTTACCTGTGGCTCCTCGGACCACGTCCATTCCTTCTCCTGTGGCTCCTCGGACCACGTCCACTCCTTCTGGTAATAGCCGTCCGTCTCGCCTTCAGGCGTTGCGGGAGGCGTATTACCGATCCCGCGAGGCCAGGGCTCGATCCGATGCAGCCCTTGCGTCCACCAAGGACGGAGCAGCTTCGGCTGCGAAGTCTGCGGCTCGCAAGGGTAAGTCGGTGAAGAGTGTCCAGTTTAGCGAGGTCACCACAGTCGTTACCGTAAGTCGGTGGATCATCAAAGCGCGAGATATCCACCGTTGCTGTTGGTAGTCTTTTCCCCTTTTCTTTTCTCCTTGTTGCAGGCTTTTCCTTGATTACTTTCGTTTTCCTGTATATTTTATTTTTGTATGTTTATCCATTGCTCCCGACTTGGCTGTGCTGGAGCCAAGTCGGGGCCCTTTACTGCTAATGGCCAGGTCACAGGTCCGGGCGAGAGACGACATTGAACGCCACCCACGAATGATCGAGCCGGCGACAGATTCACCGTCATCGATTCGCACCGGCTAACCCTCGGGTGCTTACGAGCCGCCGGCATTTCCGACCCCGCTGCGACACTAGTTTCCGGTACCCCGGGTGTTTGAGCAGAGGCACCACCGAGAATGTCTGAGGCAATCGACCTGATAGCGTTCAAGGTGGGCAGCGGATCCGGGCTTTGTGTGGGCAGCAAAGCTTGGTGAGGCATGTCAACCACGCTTACCGGGTATCGATCTGGCCGGCGGTTCAAGGGATGCCCGAGCGACGACATACACGGTCAGTATGACAGCAGCTAGCCAGCGGGCAAGGGGTGTCGGTAGGGCCACGGTATCCCGGGGGCGCGACAGAGGCGATCGATGGAATCTGGGTCGGAAACGGTTCGTGGGGGTTGTTCGTCGGGGGATCCGGGGGGGGCGATGGTTGGGGTTTTCCTTTGTCTTTCCTTTGTCATTGGCGACTGGCATTGGGCGTTCATTTTTCATTGCATGTGTTGAGGCTCTGTTGTATATAATGCTTGCTTGCTGGCTTGCCTGCTCGCCATCTTGCTTGCTTCTTGCTTTTTCATTGCATGTGTTGAGACACTCGTGTATATAGAGCTGCCTTGCTTTTCCTTTCCTTTGCCTGTTTTGAGATATCTATTGTATATAGAGCTGCGCTGCTTGTTGTTTGTTTCTTTGCATGTGTTGAGTCTCTGCTGTAACTAAAGCTGCATTACTTGCTGGCGTTCATTTCCTTGCATGTGGTGAGATACCTCTTGTATATATAGCTGCATTGCTTTCTGGCGTCCCTTCTCCTTGCATGTGTTGAGATTCTGTTGTATATAGTGCTTGCTTGCTGGCTTGCCTGCTCGCCAGCTTGCTTGCTTCTTGCCTTTTCTTTGCATGCGTTGAGTCTCCGTTGTAACTAGAGCTGCGTTGTTGGCGTTCCTTTCTTTGCATGTGTCGAGACTCCGTTGTAAGTAGAGCTGCGTTGTGGGCGTTTTGTTTTGCTGTTTTCGGGTTGGGTGGGCGGGCATCTCTGTTTTTTATATTTTGCTGGCGTTCCTATCTTTGCATGTGTCGAGAGTCTGTTGTAACTAGAGCTGTGTTATGGGCGTTCTGGTTTTCTCTTCCGGGTCGGGTGGGCGGGCATCGTTGTTCTTTTTTTATGTTTTTCTGGCGTTCTGCTTATTTCTTTTTAGGGTTGGGTGGGTGGGCATCTTTGTATTTTCTTTTGTTTTTCTTGCATTCTCCTCGCCTCTTTTAGGGCTGGGTGGGTGGGCACCTTTGTATTTCCTATTTTTGACCGTATTCGGTCTTGCATTCTCCTCGCCTCGTCAAGGGCTGGGTGAGTGGGCATCAATGTATTTTCTATGTTTTTCTCACGCTGCTTTGTCCCTTTCTTGCGTTTTTATGGCTCGCTGGACGGGCGATTTTGTATCTCCGTTGCCTTTGGGTTCCGGCTTCTTGTGATTAGATAGTTGGGGAGGTGATCATAAAACGATACCCTGTTCCCCGCCAACCTCTGTCAGTGTGCTCGTAGTCAACCAACTTGATGAAGTATGAGGAGTTTGTACTTGGAGGTCTCCGCAACACCCTTTACAGGGGCCCTCGTAGACATCGGTTCTCGGATCGAAGGATTTCCCATTGTATGAGTTGTAGGAGAAGTTATCGAAAAGAAATGGCAGCGTGGGTGAGAACATAAACTGCGTAGCAGCTGGACATCCAACTAGATGGCCATAGAGTCTCATATAGGATCGTTGTAGAACCTTCTAGGGCTAAGGGATAGATGATATGGGAAGGGAAGAAGAGAGCGTCAGAAGAGGAAAAAAAGTATATATGGATGGAGAGGCGAGAAAAAGTTATGACAAGAGTGGGATTCGAACCCACGCCCCTTTCGAGACTAGGAATGTTCTGAAGAACATGTGTGATCAGGTGACCTGACCCTAGCGCCTTAGACCGCTCGGCCATCTTGCCGGCTGATGGAAATTAGTCAACAATAAGTGCTAGATGAGCAGCTCTAGAGTGAGTGAGAAAACCACGCCATGCGGTTGGCAACGAAGGCTGGATAGACACTATTTCGACTAAAAATCTTATTCGTTTCATGTCTCATTACCTGGATGCCTTTATCTCTCGTGCCTTAGTGTGAATATGTCATTTGGTATTCAATACCCCTGTCAGTGCTGGTGTTGGGATCAGGTGGCCGAATGGCCTTCACGTTAGTATATATACTATGGGTACTACTACTGGCAACTGTCGATCAACTCTATCCACACCGGAATCACTCACCCATTACTATATGCACCACTGCTCTCACAGGTAAGCCGGTCAATACCGCGCAGCAGCCAGGAGTGCAGCCTGAAAAGAGCAATAAAACCAAAGTGACGCGTCTCTAGAGACACTGCCAACAGCGTATATCAAACCCGCTTGCCAACCAGAAAGATGACACATACAACGATTCGACAGCGTTTCTGCATTAACGAGCTAATCCAATAAATGTACAACATCGGTACAAGGACCTTACCAAAAGGATTGAGGTATGATAGCTCGACATCGACTCCACTGTGCAGTGTTTACTTCTCCCAGCAGAGCCCACACCGCAACAACAACACCGGAAGGTCCTACGTAGAGCGAACACGAAAAGTCGGAGCTAGAAACCGACTAGGGAGCAATAGAATGACACCGAGAAAAGAAATCACACACTTTATACGGAGTATTGTCTTAGAAGAAGCAAGAAACAACTAGTAGACCATGTCGCACAATGCCCCACTGCATGGGGCTGTGGACCTCCCTCACTGCACTGCGAAGTTGCTCGGTCGCATGCCTACTTTTTACTTCTGAGTTATGTATTACAAAGTCGCTGCCATCTCCAACAATTGGGCAAGATGGCCGAGCGGTCTAAGGCGCTAGGGTCAGGTCACCTGATCACACATGTTCTTCAGAACATTCCTAGTCTCGAAAGGGGCGTGGGTTCGAATCCCACTCTTGTCATATATTTTTTCATGTTTTTGAATTCAGCAGAGAATACACTCTCTTAACTGTACAACGCTACTTCGCACGGAGTATATGGCATGTCTACAACGGAAGCCAAGGGCCCACACTTTCTTTTTCTTGTTCCTTTTTGGTGAACGTACACATACAATCCGACGTGATCAGCAGTGCTATCCTTCCCTGTACAGAAAGTACTGCCGAGGCAGCAAGGCCGACATCGTAGAGTGGGACTAGAGAGTCTTTCCCATGACCGCCGAAAGATTTCCCCCGCATCGTCTCTCTACCTGCTGGCGATACGCTCACTCACTAATTTGAAAGCATTAAAAGCCCGTCTACGAGCATTCGTTTACACTGAATAGCCAGTCACGGAGATTGATGCCAAACACCGACAATGGTCATGAATCGGGTCACATTAGCACATCAACCATCTCATACTAGTCGGTTCGTTTCCTGCACCCAACTGAAACTAACGGCACGGACTTTCTTCAAGCTCCTGTTGCTCAAAGCTAAAACCGATAAGGCGAACTTTGCTAGGAACATCCCCAACACTATGCGCGGCCCAAGAATTCGTCAACAACCTGCAGGTACTTCTCGCGGTCATCGAACTGCGGGCAGTGCGAACCCTCCGACAAGGTGATCCACTTCACCTTATCAATACCCCAGAAGAGCGGCTCCACGGCGCTGTCCTGCGCTTCATCATATTTCCCATTGATCACCAGTGTGGGCACCTGGATCCGATGAATGTGGTCCAGTGCGCTCCAATCCTTGAGAGACCCCTCAACCCAAAATTCGGAGGGACCGAGCCTGCTGCCGTTAGCACGTGGCATTGTGGAAAACACAGAGTATAATGGTTGACGGAGAAAAAACTCGGGCAATTGTGCAACATACATGGTAGAAGCGACGGTAGAATCCTTCTCCGTGGTCCAGACGAGGCTTTGCATGAGCTCCTCGGGCCATGGCTGTGTCCGGCAACAGAATCGGGATAAGAACTCCACCGTTGCATTTTCATAATCCTTCGAATCGAGCCGCCCTTCTGCTTCACATTTTTGCAGCGTGTCTTGGATCTCCTGGGGTAGGCTAGCGCGGAGTCGGTTGACCGATTCAAGCCACAGTGCGACCGAGGCCGGGGCGTTTGACAGGATCAGACGGCGCAGTCCAGCGGGCTGACGAGCGGCGAAATCCATCCCCATCATTCCGCCCCAGGAGTGACCCAGCAGATCAAAATGACCAGCGATACCGAGATGCCGGAGCAAGTTTTCTAGCTCCGCGATGAATAGGTCGACGGTCCAGAACCCCTGATCGCCGCGTTTCTCCAGATAGTGGGAGGACAATCCATTTCCAATCTGATCGTAGAGAATCACGGAACGACCGGAAGCCAGTGCAGCCAGGGGCAGCATGTAGTTGTGGCAAAAGCCCGGCCCGCCATGCAGGACTACTAATGGTGTGCCTGCCTTGATGTCGCCATAGACTCGGTACCACGTTTGGGCAGGCTGGGGAAGACTAGCATAATGGAATGGAGCGGTTCCCTCCTGGACAGTACTTGCTACCATACTTGGGAGATCGATGCAGAAAGGTTGTTAAGGCAATAATTGTTGTGGTAATGGGCAAAGAAGTAGGAGGGGGGAAGGATCAGACAAAGCAGCCCGTCTTAACACCACCACCACCACCACCACCACCACACCCGAGAGATTCCCCGAGGTTAACCCATCGTCTGGCCCCCCCAGTTTGTGAGACAACCCCACCGGCACTAGATGACTGTCATATCGAAGTCGCGTCAATTAGATAAGCCCCCGGGCAGAGTCCGGGGTCCTTGAAAGTCCATCTGTCGGCAACACAGTCTGTAAGCATGTGTGGAATAAGTTGGCGGCTTGAATGAGCCTCCGATTTCAGGGGTGTCTTCCAATTTGTGTGCATTACTCCCTAGCAATTTGGCCCCTATCATCAAAGTGCGACACGCAAGGCAAAAAAAGAAAAAAAAATAAATACGGCGTCATGCAAACCATGAGACGGCGTCGGTTGGTGGGCTGACTACCGCGGCCCTAGCGGAATTAGGCGCCTCCACCCCGATCCTTCGTTTAGGTCAGGATCGACGGGCTGAGATTGCAAATATTCTAACAAAGTTCAAATAAAACATGATCGAACAAATCCTTCAGGTCGCCTTACTGCTACGATGCCTCGTTCCCTTTTATCAGCCTGGCTGCTCTCTCTGGTCCCGGACTCGAGGGATGCAGGCCAGCAACGGATGTGGCAGTCATGGTTGCGGTCACTGACACCAATCGGTCTCCTATCATTGGGATCCTAGCCTTGCTTTTCGCCGTAATTTCGACATTATCTGGAGCTGCACGGCTGGGGATCAAATATGCCATCACCAGAAATCTCACGGTGGATGATCACCTGATCTCTGTGTCAATGGTGAGTCTCGAGGCGGTTCATCGCGTGGCAAGCTTTAACTTCCCCACAGGCCTTCAGTGTACTACAGACAGTATGCGTTACAATTGCCGCGCGCAATGGCTATGGAGAGGCAGAAAGTGCTTCTTCACAGGAGCGGATAGACATAGCTCTGAAGGTACACCATCCGTTTTCTCCGGATGAATTTGTCGCTGACGTAGTGCAGGCTGTTTATGCCGCTGAAATGCTATATGTTGCAAGCTTGACATTCTCGAAACTGAGCTCCCTGGCGTTCATGACATTTCTCATGCAGCGCACTCGCAAGGCTGAGTGGGTACTCATTGCAATAATCAGCGCGTGGGCTGTAGCGGCGGAATTCGCCGTAGCTTTTCAATGCAATCTTCCGCAGCCGTGGAGATGGAACCAGAAGAGGTGTTTCAATCGTGTAAGATACCATACACTTACCAAATGCGAAGAATTTAGACTAACTTCACCAGGATGCATGGTGGATGGTTTTCGGGGCGTTCAACATTCTAAGTGAAGGCGCCCTGATTCTAGTACCTAGTATGCTCATACTTCGTATTCAGATGGCGGTTCCGAGGAAGATAGTTGCCACCGCCTGCTTTCTCACTCGCTTCTTGTATGCTCGCTGGTGACTTCCCGTTCGACGTTCGTGGGTAGGTACTAATGCCTACATGATTATAGGGTCATCGTTGCGATCATCCTTGAGCTTGTATATCGCCAACAAAACAATCACGCCTCAGATCCCTTGCTAGCTATTTGGAAGGCCGCCGTCTGCGTCCAGTTGGTACAGTGTCTGTCAATTGTTATGGCCTGTGCTCCGCATCTGAAGCCGTTCATGGATGGATTGCAGTCTACTGGTCTCCGATTATACCACCTCCCAGGAGAGACGTCTGGACGCGGGGAGTACGCTCGCGTGAGCAAAGCAAAGGCTGCCGCACACGAGCTCAGCGGGCTCGTTGGTGTGGCTAACAGCACCGCAATCTCTGCAGGGAGGGAACAACAGGATTGGGACGATACCATGAGCCACTCCAGTCAGGATCATATCATTCGAGAAACTAGAACATGGGTCGTAGAAGAGCAGTACAACCCGGATGCTGCGACGAATCGACCGACAGACAGTGAGTCCAATGGCAGTCATGGACCACATGAATCAACTAGCCATTAGAGCCCGTCTTACACGGTACTATTTACATGCATTACGACTGGACGAAGTAATCAACAATCAGGTTCAAGTTATCTCGAAAACGAAGCAGCAGGTTGGGTGATCCTCACCTGTTCGCTGAGAGTACCTGGCACTTGTTTAAGGTTTTCAAGTTGCCTCGGCGCTTTTCCGGACTGTGGGCCTTCATTTACTGTTTGCTTGTCTAAGACTCTAAAGCCTCTAGTTTCGGACGCGGAGGGTGGCCCGTAATCCGCGGCACGAAGCCTAGCATCCCGGGAAGTGGAAGCTTAACTCTCCCTAGTAAGGCACCGCATACGGTGGACCCGCCACTAAAGGCATGCAACCTGTGCGAGGATCCAGCAGGATTGCGTGGTATTTGTTCCAAATTGGCCTTGTTATTGGCCCAAACAATGCCAACTATCCGGTGGCGCTCTGCAGCTTGACATTCTACCGCCCCTCGTCAAGTTTCCCTGGTAGTAAAAGTGCCGTCTTTCTATGGGCTTAGAGCCTTGGACACACTGACCAGTCTCAGTCACGAAGAAATTCTCGGCGAGCCCCTGTTAGTCTGGTTGCAGCCTTGTCTCCGCTCTACTTTTTTTTTTTTTTTTTTTTTTTTTTTTTTTTTTTTTTTTTTTTTTTTTTCTTCATTCTGCATATGCAGCCGAGCTCAATCTTCACCGGATTAGACAGGGATTAGAAGAGGAGAGGAGTTAAACGAAGGAACAAGCTTTGCTTGCGGTTTCCTACTCTTTCTGCTCTTGCTTCTTCCTCCCGCAGACGAGAGGGTTGACTTCGGGCATTCGCACCAATAAGTCAACGCCACAATGGGGCCGCCAATTGAGTTGCGCGACCGGAATTTGGATGCTAAGGCCGCCAACAGCAGCCAGTCTCACGTCAATGATGAGCAGGGACTGGGCCGCGTGGGCAAGAAACAGATCTTGAAAGTGCGCGATGACCCTGAATTTGTGTTCCCGCAGCGACTTACCAGTGCTTACAGCGTCGGTTTGGGTTCTTGTCTATATTGGGTTTTAGTTGTACAGTTCTGGCATCCTGGGAGGGCATTTTGTCGTGCGTGTTTCCCAGCTGACGAGATGATGGTGGATGTTTTTGTTGTTAACAGATGCTTAGGACTTTCACGGTACCGTTTGAAGAGTATGTATCGACTCTACACGAAGGAAAACCTTGATCTGACAGTGTCAATAGTGGAGGTCCGGCTGGAACAGTCTACAGTTTCCTGGTCGTCTGGTTGGGTACCTTTTCGACGTTTCTCACTCTGTCTGAACTTGTTTCGATGTAAGTCTAACGGCCTGTTGTCTGGCCACCTCAATCTAATATCTATTATGTGAAGGGCCCCTACTTCCGGAGGACAATATCACTGGGTATCGATGATGTCCCCGCGGTGGTGCCAAAAGTACCTCAGCTTTCTCACAGGTCCGTATACTAACCAAGGTTTCTCCGCTGCTCACCCATACTGATATAGCTAATACTAGGATGGTTGATTGTCATCGGTTGGCTGGGAGCATTTGCGTCAACCTGCTATCTAAGTGCTTCCCAGATTCTAGGCTTGGTGGTTCTTAACCATTCGTCCTATACCCCAGAGCCCTGGCAAACGATGCTTCTGTTCTGGGCCATTGTAGCTTTTGCTGTGTTCGTCAATGTTGTTACCAGCACCTTGTTGCCCAAATTCGAGGGGCTCGTCCTGATATTGCACGTGTTTGGGTTTTTCGGAATCATCATCCCCTTGGTATATCTGGGAGATCACAACCCAGCTTCCGAAGTCTTTGGGCAGTTTGCCAATGATGGCGGTTTCCAAACGCAGGGACTAGCTTTCATGGTCGGTATGATTGGTAACATGTTTGCTTTTACTGGTGTGGATGCGGCTGTCCACGTAAGTATTCGGCAATTTCAATCTGAATTCTTTCCTACTTGACTGACATACAAATGGGCAGATGAGCGAAGAAATCCACGATGCAGAGCGCGTGGTCCCGCAATCCATCCTCACTTCGGTTCTAATCAACGGAGCTCTGGGCTTTGGAATGATCCTGTCCACATTATTTACCATGACAGACGCTACTGCCGCCCTGGCCTCACCCACAGGGTACCCTTACATGCAAATCTTCTGCTCAGCCACTAAATCGCTTGGAGGATGCACCGTCATGTCAGCTATCGTGCCAATTCTAGTCACCGCCACTGCTGTAGGCTCATTGGCATCATCATCTCGCATGGCATGGTCATTCGCCCGAGACCGTGGTCTCCCCGGTTGGCAAGTCCTCAGCAGAGTACATCTCCCATCCCCACTATCTTACAATAACCCGCTAATTCATTCCCAGGTCAACGCCCAAGCCGTCCCCCAATGGTCCATCCTCGTCGTAACCAGCGCGGCCGTCCTGCTCGCGCTGATCATCCTAGGCTCAGCAGCGGTCCTAAACGACGTCGTCTCTCTCTGCGTCAGCGCCCTCTACTCTTCTTACCTAATCTCGGCCTTCCTTCTAATGTGGCAGCGTCTCACGGGCGGTATTCGTGAACCATCCGATACACCCGCGGATACTGTTGTGAATACGGCAGGTGCGCCTCTTGCATGGGGACCCTTCCGAATGCGTGGCATATTGGGTGTTTTGGTGAATGCCTTTACCATCGCTTACCTTGCCGTGGGTGTGTTCTTTAGCTTTTGGCCCGATGAGATGAATCCGACGGCTAGTACGATGAATTGGGCGGTTGTTGGCACGGTTGGTACTAGTTTGATTAGTACGGTGTATTATGTTATCTGGGCCCGGAAGGAGTATACGGGGCCGGTGGTGGAAATTAATCGGGATTGAGATGTGGATATGAGTTATGATAGATGGTGATGTTATAGTAGTGCTGCAATAAGTACATATGACGGCTCTCAAAGCTTTGGGGGGATTCCTTGTAGGTTTGATAACAGACCCTGCGTCCATGTCCGCATCAATCACGCCGCATCAACCTGGACAAGTAATCCCATAGACGTAGATTACAACCAGCCTCCCGCCTCGCCACGGAGCACTTCACAATCATATTGATTTTATGAAAAATACCATCTCTACTTCGTCTCCTCAATATACGCTGCAATATTCTCCCTCTTCTCAAAAGCATCCCTAAGCCTGACCAGCGACTCAGGAAGATCCGCCTACCCCAAGGACAAGAACTGTTAGCATAGACACAAGTACCCCGAGGCACCACATTCTTCCTAAAAGATGAAAGAAACTAAGGAATAAAACATACCACAATAGTCCCCGTCCTCCGATCATTATCCATGCTCTGATAGACGGCAAAATCCGCATACGTGACCTTATCGCCTAGAAGATACGGACCCTCCGTTTCGGCATAGTATTTTCCTACGAGATCGTAGTACTTGGCCGTGGTTTCATTTTTGTATTTCTCGGATGCTTGCATGAAATTGGAGACCCATTCGCTCTACATTATGGTGAGTACTGATGATAGAGAGTATGAAAGAGGAGAGGGAATACTAACCCTCCAATCGATATAAATATCAGCCACCACATCAACGATGTACTTCTCCCAGTTAGTCTCGCCGTCGTAGCGGCCGAGGTCGCGCGATAGGTAGCGGAGAATGGGGATGTGCTGGATTCATATTAGGTCGTCGTGCATGGAGAATGGACTCGTTGAGTATAAGGGAATGCGCACCTGCGTCAGAATCTTCCCCTTGTACTCGAGCGCAGGAACCAGCCCGCTTCGACTGATACCCTGCTCCTGCAGCTTTTTGCTAGCCTGGGGCCAGGTATCATCGTACGGGTAGCGGACTTCGGTGAATTCGATACCGGCGTCTTTGAGGAAGAGCCTATTCCCATATAAAAAAGATACTCTGTGGTTAGTGGATATTGCTGGTTTCGGATGCGGGGTTGGGGAGATCATGCTGGCTGACCTGACGACTTCACCGCGGCCTAGGCGGCCGATGTCGAGGTAGTGGTAGACTATTTGGGAGGTTTGTGTGGACATGTTGTCTTATAATTTGAATAATGTTCCCCAAATCAGAGTATTTCGAGTCCAACTCAGAGACAGCTAATATGATGTGGACTGAGTACGATTATAGATGATGTAGATTGAGGGGTGGATGCTTACAAATGAGGGCAACCCCGCAGTTAACGACCCCTCCGGGATCCACTATATCGCCGAATTCCAGCTGCTGAATGCGTGGCTCGGCCAGGTCGGTCAATTGGAGGATCTTGAGCCTATCCTGATTTAGGGATATACATGACTTAGGGTGGTGGATAGTGGATGGAGGTCATAGCTACACTATATTTAAGCTTGTTATTGAAGGCTATGCGTTATTACTCGTCCGCTGAGGGCTTCTTCAGGTGCGTGTTATTACGATGGTACCATGATACTCCGGGCCATATCCTTGTTTCAGACAGCTGCTCGTATTGGCGGGGTTGATCCGGCTACTGTAGAATACGAGGTGGACTACAGGTTGGATTCAAACATGCATGAGTCCCTGGGTATCTCCCACCTCCTTCAACCCCGACACTGTCTCTGGGAAGCAAATGCAGAAGAACACGAGGCTGATCCAGCAACCTCTTTTACTGACACTGACATCATTCCTTACAATTGATGACGTGCCAAGTATAGCTGCAACGTCATTCCTTCGGTGAGGATAATCCACTTCATCTTCGGCGTCTGTCTATTGGGTTTGTTAGACTTCGAAACAATAGTCTGTCCCTCGTCGATATTCTACCGCAACTGTCCCAGGTTCTCTGGTGGGGTGAGCACCAGCGGGCTTACCCGCGAGCTTATCAAGAGCGCTGTGAACAAGAGTAGACGATGGCCTACGGATTAGGGACAGATTAAACGATGCCGATGAGAACCCGACTATGAGATTGTTTTTACGTGCCATTGCTTTGTAGCTATCAGCCCCCGGTGTCCCTTGTGTGTTACTTTCCAACACCAAAAAGAACATCATGTAGTTGAAAGGAAGGTTCGTTGAGAAGAGGGCCGAAAAAAAAAACGCAAAAAAGAAAGCCCAACGCGGGGCTCGAACCCGCAGCCTTGAGATTAAGAGTCTCACGCTCTACCGATTGAGCTAGCCGGGCTAGTTCGGTGAAAGATGCTTTTCCTTTTTGCTTTATAAAACTGTTTTAAACAAACATGCCCATCTCACACTCTCACCTGCCATCGAATTCTCGCCATCTAGTTCCCAGAAGCTAGCGCTTTAGGTTATACTATGGGGTGATGTTGATACACTTGAATGTTACGCTTTAATCGATACGCAGTACTATGCCGTCAGCGAAGGCCTCATCGCTCGAGATACTGTGGTTGGGGGATCATTGTGCGAGTATATATTTCGGCTATGATCCGGTGCTTATGCCCGGCAGTAAAGTCGACATAGTTGAGTTAATCAACTCGCATCCATACCTAATTCTCACCAGAACTGTCACAAGGGCCACAGAGCGGATTTCCAGAGATAAAGCTAAGGACCGAAGGTCTAATCCATCGGAGCTAGTAGCTCACACAGGATGTCTGGCCGCAGAGGTCTCAGCAAACATGCATTCCTTTGCGTACATTGTACAGCTTGCATCCAACCTGCACAGAATCCATAATGCTAGCTACGACACATAGACCCAATACTATAGAAGCCACTGGCGGGTATCGCACCTAATCTTGCAGTCTACATCACCTTTATGCACCATGACCTCGAAATTCTACTATATGCACAACCCGCCAACCAGCAGCCGAACAGGAGAAACTGCAGCGCGCACACCCAATGCAGATAGTCCCGCGGGGAAGCTTCACCATGCCCGTGCGTGCGCTGGTTTTCCTCGAGGTGGTCAAGAAAGGCTTATGCTGCGATGACTCCCTTGTCTACCGATAGTCATTGTCTGGACGTCACTTCAAGCTCATCGTCTCATCCGCCCTGGTAATCAGCTCAGTTCTACAGAAGCTATCAGCTACTAGCCAGCCATACGAACCGACACCTAGCAAAGCAAGCGAGTTATTGCGTGACAATTCGCAACGTCTCCGGTGTATCTTCTTCACCGTGCCAGATTGTGCGGTCACGAGTTGCCCAGGGGAGGTTGAGACAACGGACGGTCCTCCACTATGCGATGGCAGTTAACCAGTATATTGTATCCTGTCCGCATTCCTCGGTAGCTCTTCAGTGGAGAATATAGAACGGGAATGGAATTGTTGGTGGAGCTTGGGAATCGAGGCGGGATTGGGATAAAGAGGGAGAAGACGACCAGGCAAGGCAGAGAAATTGGTATCAGGCCGGGTGAAATAAACAATTTTATGCGCAGTAATGCTTGCAATCGATCCTAGGTGGTGCATACTGACGGACACTATCTCACCGACCTTCTCCCCCTTGTCTCCTCCACCATGCAACATCCACCCACCATATATCGACTACCCCATATCGCCACCCCTAGCAAACATTGAACATGGCACCTCTCCCAGGAGAACCTTCAACAAAAGGTCCCCCCGGGTATATATAAACCCATAAACCCACCATCATGCCTCCCTTTCAACCTTCCCCATCTGCTCCACATAATCAAACTCAACGGACACCGCCAAGTAAAACCATCGATATATTGACCTCCACTGCGCGAGAAATTATAGAAACACGCATAAATGCTTAACCATGGTGTTAAAAAAATTGAACCCCACTGTGATGAGAATGTTTTGCCTAAAGTGGGTCCGATAAAGATTAAGCTGGGAAAAAGAATCTAGAGTAATAAGAAGATAAATATATACTGGATAAAGATAATATTGTCCAATTGTCAAGTACAAACTCGATCAACAAGAGCGGAAACAAAGAACACGCCGGAGCGATCTAACGACCCCACAAAAACAGCGGGCTCTCTAATTCAGTCCATCTACAACATAATCATAGCAAAACCGCTAACAACAGCAACGGCCACGTAAACAGCGAGCTGGAAGTAACCGACATGGACGGCCTTGGCACCAGCGGAAGTGCTAGAGACGGAAGTAGACGAGGCAGTCGAATCGCTGGATCCAGCAGTGGCAGTAGCCTCAGAAGTAACGAGACCCGTGCCGGCAGTACCAGCCTCGGACATGTAAGTCTTGCAAGAACCGGTGGCGGAGGTAGCAGACTTGGTGGTAGCGGAGCCACCCCAGCTGCAAGCAGAGGCAGAGTTGCCGGCGGACTTCTGCTTCTCGTAGTACTCGTTCAGGACGAAGACAAGCTGCTGCTTGCTGTTGCACATGCTGTAGGCGCCGTACTTGCCGGTGGTGCCGTTGCCGGTGATACCGGAGCAGGACATCATACCGCAGACCTCGCCCATCAGGTCACCGATGTCGTCGGAGTCGAGGGAGTCCTTGACGGTGCAGGTGGCGGCGTCGACCATGCATTCACAGAGATCAGAGTCCGGGGTGGGGGGAAGGGGAGAGGCCTTGGCCTTCCAGGAGGAGTTCTCAGTAGGGCAGCTGCGGAGGGCGGTGTTGGTGGGGGTGTAGGAGGCCTTGTTGGTGCTGCTGGGGGTGGCGCTGGCGATTTCCTTGGAGTAGTAGCTGAAGTCGGTCATGGTGCTGACGCTGGTACTGTCGATGACGGAGACCAGGCCTGTAGATGGTTAGAATGGTTATGCTGAGGTAGCGAAGAATAGAGGGGACTAACCATAGTCGTTGGTGTCTTGGAAGTACTCGTAGACGATACCACCAGACCAGACCTGGGACATCGTATCGCCGTAGAGAGCCGCAACTTCAGTGAATGTACGAGGTGTGACACTGTTGCAACCGTACTCGGAGAAGAAGACAGGGACGGAGTAGTTGGCAAACTCTTCGGTACGAGCCTTGTATCCCGATTCCGCGTAGGTCGAGTCACCGCACCAGGAGTAGATGTTGTAACCGAAGAAATCAATACCGACAGACTCCGACTGGCAGTTAATGTAGTCGGCCAGGTCAGCACGGATGGAGGAAACATCAGCGGTGGCGTATCCCACACCAATGGTACGGTATCCCTTGTTGCTGATGTAGGTTTTCATATCACGGATGGCAGCCTTGACGTAGGGCATGGCCTCAGTGGTTCCAACACTGTTAGCAATTTCATTGCCAGCAAAGAAGCCGAGAGTGTTGTTGTAACCGGCCATGGCGTCAATGACACTGGTGTAGCGGTTGTACAGGGTGAGCTGCCAGGCAGGATCACTGCGGTCGATGGCGACGCTCGTGTTGGAGAGATCAGCAATAACGTAGATGCCAGCGTCGGCGAGAAGCTGCATGCAATCATCGTGATCGGCTGTAGGGTCAATGTCGTAGGTACGAATGACGTTGGTGCGCAACTCCTTCATGTAGGGGATGTCGCGCTCGCAGGTGGTCTTGGAACTCAAGGGGTCGGCAGTGGTGCTCTCTGTTTTGGAGAATTAGTTTTGAACGATATCCCAGGAGGAAGGCTACCGACTCTGATACGCCACACCGCGGAGGAAGCTGGAAGCATGTTAGAACTTGATCTCATACGGTGGAAGCATATTAGATGAAAACATACAATTGAGTGTCATTGCTGGAGTAGAAGAACTTGGAACCCTAGATGGAATGAGCATTGCAAATGCTAGAAGAAGGGAATTAGAAGGAATCATACCTTGATTTCGATGGGGTCGACGGCGAGCGCCGAGCTGGCGAAAAGGGCTGCACCAGCAGCCAGATGGAGAAGTCTCATAATGATATGCTTTGTAAGATCAAACAATTGGCGAAAACAAACGAGAGTACTGGTATATAAACAAAAAACTGTAAAACGAAAGAAAGTCTAATGGGCAGTAAAAGTTGAGCTTGGGTCTACCAATGCCTGACTATTAACGAGAGTGGGAGTTTGGTACGACTTCATTCCCCCTTCGCGATTAAGAGGGCTTTTGTAGAAATGCTGCCGCACCTGTGGAGTCTTGGATCCAACTTCTCACGGCCAAGAAATCCGTCTATGCTTTCATCCCCTTGATTCCATGAATAGGTGGTGACGCGTCAGAGGTCCGCGAATACCCCACGCAGCCATCGCCAGT